TCCACCTAAACCAATCTATTGCATTGTCCGTCTGGTTACTTTCTTCCTCCGAATATATGTAAGCTCCATGAAAGCAAGGACTCTGTGTTGTTCATGGCTAATTTACCAGGGCCCAGAACAATTTTTGGCATATTATTATTTAATAATAGCTAAAAAAAGTTTATCAAATGAGTGAAAGAATGAATGAGTAAACAAACAAAATCTGGCATATACTAAACAGATGCAAAAATAACCAAAATAGATGTTAATTAATAAGTTTACTATCTCATAAGCAAAAAGAAGATAAAAGTATCATGTGACATGCCCTTTAAATTTGTAATAACTGAATGGGAAGAGAAGGGTGAACTCTGAATCAAGAAAGTAGGGTTTGAGTCCTGACCACTATTAACTATGTAGTTCTCTGGGCCTCAGTTTCCCCATATATAAAAAGGAGATGCTGAAACAGACCAGTAATTTTCAAAAGATCCCTCTTTAAGAAATGGATTTAAAAAGCAAGGACAAGAATTTGCACAGAGTTGGTGCATTTTAAGGCACTGACTTGCGTTCCTTCCCTAATCTCATCAGAATGGCAGTCAATGGATTTTTAAAAAGGCATAAACCCACAAGAACAAAAATAACAAACGTGAAGACAACAGCAATAAAATACTGGAAGCTGGTGAGGAAACGGGTGAATGGTAACTGACTTAACAGACTCAAGAGAGCCAAAACCCACGCTAACAGTGGGGAAAAGGCTGAGAAACAACACATTTATGTTCCAGAACCCTCAACTCAGGAAATAGTGGCATCAGGCACCTCTGGAAGATGGTGACCATGGGGATATAAGCAGAGGGGTTGGCTGACCTTCTGTATAGCAGCGAGACTTCTCTCAATCTCCTGCCTCACTCCACCCTACTAGGACCCTGCCCTTCCTCATCCAGGAAGACGACAGGAAGTTTACTCTCTCAAGAGGGTGAAACTGAAGGCTCCAGGAATGACGAATACCAGGCACAGTTGAGGGCAAGAGAACTGCACTCCAAAAGGGTAGTTCAGTGAACGTGTTTTGGCTGACGTGGGCTTCATGTGCTCGGCCTGACAGCACCTAAAGCAAGATGGCCCTGCCTCATGTAGCGACAGTGAGCAAGTTTGTCTCCCCCGGAATCTGACATGAGCTTCATTATTCCCATTCAGGGAAAATGGCCAGTACTATGCCTGCCCAGGAAGTCTGAATATTTGCTTTCTGATATCCACTTGCCAAATATAATTTGTTGCCATGTCAGTTTATTTTAATCAATGCCCATGAAAAAGGTCTTTCATGCTGGGCACAGTGGCTCACGCCTCTAATCCCAACTCTTTGGGAGGCTGAGGTGGGAGGACTGCTTGAGGCCAGGAGTTCAAGACTAGATTGAGCTAGAGACCTCATCTCTACAAAAAAAAAAAAAAAGAAAAACTAGCTAGGCATGGTGGTGTGTGCCTGTAGTCCCAGCTACTCAGTAGGCTGAGGCAGGAGGATCACTTGAGCCCAGGAATTGGAGGTTGCAGTGAGCTATAATGACACCACTGCACCAGGGCAACAGAGTGAGACTCTGTCTTCAAAAAAAAAAAAAGGCTAGTGAGGAAAGATAATTATTAATTCTAGGGAAAATTAAAAGTCATGCAGGACTTATAATACGCTACATGAATAATAATACACTACATGACTAAATCATGATTAGCATTTAGGTAGTCATAATAATGCAAACAGTAAATACTGATTTAACCAAACCTTCAGTATTCTATGTTGGTGGAGGATGGTGGGGGAAGGGGACAAGAAGAGAATGAATGTACAACTGGGGCACAGAGGTGAAAGAGAGCTAAATCCTCATTTTCCATAGGAGAAGGTTAGCAGAAAAGGTCTAAAACTAAAAAGTCAAGAGCAGCGATCTACTCATGTTATTTAGAGGTATGGATTAACATCCAAAAGAGTTAGCTGAGAGTCTAAAATGGTGCTCTTGGGAATGAAAAGATAGAGTATGTATGTGGGTGGGGGCAGGGGCTTGATTTTTTTCATAACAAGTCTTGTAAAACTATTTCAGCCTTTAAACTATATGCAGGTACTACTATGACAAAACTAAAAAGTTTTACTAAAAAATAGAAATAAAAGTTTTTGTCCCTCTCCTTAAGAAAAGTAAGACATGATTTTGCATATGGCTTTAGGGACCTTCATGGACCCCTGAACTAGCTAGGCTCCCAGAGCATGAAGATTTTATGGTTCCATTCCAGCATCATTTCCACTCCCAACCACTCCTCCTCTCTGCACCATCTTAGGAGAGAATGTAAGTTCTACAAATGGAGTTTTCCAAACAGGATTAATATATCCTTAAGGGAGTATCTCTTATTGTGCCCACAGTTGTCACATGATAAAGTGGGAACCCAGACTTTTTAGACTAACACACATTCCAGGTATGTAAGTAGATATCCACAATCCAAATATATGGCCTGGTTTGTGCTCTTGTCTTACAGATGGAATGGAAAGATTAATCAAAAGGAAAGTCATCCAAAATAAGGATTGTTTCTGACACAAAGGCAGATGATGTCTGAACCCCCAAATATACCATAAAAGGTCTGAGTTCCACAGCTTAGATTATTGTAAAGACTGAATGGACCAAGTCAGGGTTTGTATGCCCCTCTCTCCCCACTGGACACTGCATCATGATCTTTCTTACCGATCTAAACTTGCTGCTAGCTCAGCCAGGTATAAAACAGAGGGGTCTGGACAAGAAACTATCCTTTGGTCCTGAAGTGAGCCTTCAAGTTTGTATGGCACTGGTTTTCCTTATGAGCAGTTTGTAAAGTGAACCAGAGGCTACCATTTTTAATGAAAAGTAATTTTGCAACTATATTGTAAGTGATGCTAACAGATTTTAAGCCTGAATGACAGTGTCTACTATAAACCTTTTAGCTTCTGAATCAGCATAGTTTGTTATGCTAGAAAGCATCACAGGAAGAGTTGTTTGTTTCATTTTCCTTAAATCTACTTACAAACCTATTTCTACATTAACAATACTGAAAAACCCCTCCTGAAGCATCTGGCCGGGGGAGAAACACAACTCCAAATTCAATGAGCAGCAAAATATACAGCTAAACTTTGCTTTTTGTCAGGTTTGTGCACTTGGCCGTGGCTAAGAGTCTGGGATTACTGAGGGGACTTCAGTAGGGTATGTTCCACCAGTGAGTGCCCTCTGGTTGCCCTATATTCTACCTGGACCTGGATTCCTGGCCCAAGATTAGCTTTGAGGGTGCAGCTCTGTGACCACAGCCAGTCAGTGGCTGAGCAGGCACATGTTAAGTGCCTGTGGGCTACACAGTCTTCATGGAGTACTTTCAAGTTCATTCCCAACAGACAACATAAGGTCCCAGCAGTCCTAGAACCTCTCAGCCATGCAGGAGGTTGGGAAAAGTTGCAAAGAACTATTAGTTTTGAGATCTGAACATGTCAGTATCCCTGTGACAAAATGATTTACTCTAAAATGCTGCTCTACTAAATGCTGTCCTTCTGGTCCTTTTATAAACTGTTCATGAGGAAGAAAGCTCCTAAACCAATTTACAGATGCTTATGTGATACTCAGAATCATTACACTGAAGACTCTTATTCATTCTCATTCTCTCTCTCTCTCTCTCTCTTAAACATAGTTCACTCAACGTATGCTGATTAAGAACACGAATTTGAGGACTCAAAGTCCCACTATTAAAGTCCCCTAAACTTTTGCCAAGAGGTCAGCTTTGGATTAGGTGAACAAGCCATGCTAGGCACAAAAGGGTTCGTTCCTCTCCTGCCAAAATCTAAAACACTTCACTTGGGTGATGCAGTATTTGAAGTGAAAATTCAGATGAAAAAGAGGCTGCAATTTTAACTCCCAGAGGATCACTGTGTCATGTTTTTATTCTCAACAGTTTGAGGTTTTGTCTAGCAATTAAGAGGGTTAAGATAAGACTCCTTTGGTACTTCTCTCCTCTTTAGATCAATCATCCTTTCAGCTTGGCTAGTTGAATAGTCGAGGTGAGGCCAAAGATCACAGGATTCATTGCCTCGATGGAGAATTAATGAAATTCTAAACAGAGAGGCCACTTGTCTCTGACCAAACTAGCACAGTTTACCTAGGTTCACAGTGTAAACTGCAAGCACCCAAGAAAGAACAAGACCAACTAGCTCACTAGAAACACCTCAAAAGGAATGCATTCACATATTTGCAAGGAAACAAACAAACAAAAGCAACAGAAACGGGCAATCCATTTGTTCTTTCCCCCTGTACTATAGTCTCCCATTGCTGGGCTGCCAATCTACAGTGGGGTCAGAACAGACGCTCTATTCAGACTAGTAATGTTTTGACCTTGGAATTGGCAGGTAGAAAGGGGCATGTCGAAATTTTGGAAATTGAGGGATAACAGCTTAAAAATGAGTGCTTTTCTTCACCGGTTTTCTTTTCAATTCATGAAAATGTATTTTGAAAACTTTACAGAAAGACATGAGAATTTTATGTTTATCAAAGAAAACATGGCATGGGTGAAAACAAAGCCAAGAAACTCTAGTTTAAGCCACTGATTGGGGACTCTGGTGGACAGTGTTCAATACCTTGGCAGACATAGTAATAGACTCTTGGCTTTCTTTTTCACTTGCTGCCTATGTATATGTCTATTCTTAAGTCTTTAGCTTTGGGGGGAATGGTTTATATTTACAGATAATCTACATTAACTATCTTCAACTAAACTCTAACAACAGACCACCTTTATTAGAAACAAAACTTCACCAACATCACAATTGCAATTAACATAAATAGTTTAACATTCCCCTTCTACCACTGCTAGAAGTAAATTTTTTTTTCAAAACCCAATTTATGCCAAATACGTAAAACGTGAAAATAATAGGAATGAACTTTCTCTCCTTCATTATTTCATCCATTCAATCATCCAATGAAACACTGAGTATCTATTATGTGGCAGGCACATAAGACGTGCACCAATCAGCATTCAACAGTCACACTAACCTGTGTGAGAATAGATGTACCACAAGGCCCCTGTCAGGAGTGCTCCGATCACAAATGCTGCAAACGCAATGCCCATCACGGTTAGGGTGTCCAAACCATGGAAAATCGCTGTAAAGGAGGGAAACCAACACATACAACTTTTAAGTTAGTCTGCACCATTTATTGCTGCTTTGTATTTGTTTCACAAGCACTGTCATTAAAGCTAAGCACTGACTAATAGAATCTGAGAATGTAATGAAGATCCAAATAAAACATACTGTATTTTGTAAACTGCAAATTTTTTGTCAAAGGAGAAATGAAATTATCAGGTTTCCAAGATACTCTTAGTTTGCTATCTATTTTCAGCAACAAACTAAAAAATCAGCTTTCTAAATTCTAAAATGTTAAGTCTATGGTCTCACTGTCTCAATCTGAGGACCTACTATTTAAATAGAGTGTCTTGAAAATTTACAGGTTAAGATGCTTTGGAGAATAAGGTGAACTTCCATTATCAAAATCTGACTCATTGCTCCTTAGTGATTAAACACCTCCAACAATAAAACACTACACAGAAATAACATTTCATGAACATTTAAAAGTGTGAAAGATAACAGGACAAAAGAGTGAGAGGAAAACATAGAATAAGAATACACCATTCCTGTGGATAACATTTCACTGATCTGCTCGGTCTTAAACTCTCAATCTTAACAACTATGTATTATGTCATTTAAAACAACCTACTTTTTAACACTTTTCCAACCGTGATCTTTCTACAAGGGGAACGGAAATACTTCCCAGTGGGGAGTGATGTCAGTTTTATGGTCAGCAAAACATATAAATAGAATCAATTGTTCCTCCATTTGGCAAATATTTTTATATTTGAAATTAATTCCAGGCCACAGAAATAGAACATTTCCTTTCATTTAAGAGAACTGCCTTCCTTGAGTCACTTATAAAAAGTTAAAATTGGTTTCCAAGGGAGAGGGATTTTTGGTAGAATAAAATTTCTGAGGTCTGTGTTTTTTAGGTATAAATGGAAGATGTAGGATCTCCCCACTATTTCAATGCTACTTCTTTCTGCTCTAGAAGAAACTCCAGCTGGTCTCTTCTGTAAGTGACATCTCTTCACCTCTTTGCCTTTCAGCTCCCTCCAGCGTAACAGACTGCTGTACACATGTGACCCTCGAAGCCCCAGTGCTCCAGAGCGCTTGGGAAAAGCACATCCTGGTGGGAAAGAGTCTGGAAGGAGACAAAGTCCCAAGTTCTGGTCCCCACTCTTCCAGCCCTGTGCCCTTTGGTGGGTTCATTCAACTTCTGAAAAACTAAGATAACACCATTTCCCCCGCCAAAAGCAGGGTTGTAAACAAATGAGTTTAGCAAAGGGAACCCACTGGAAGCAGTAAGAACTGGGAAGAGCTCTCCAGAGGTTAAGATGAACCAGGCCTTCAGACTATTTAGTTTACTCTAGTCTGTGGGGCAGACATTTAAAGATGACTTGCCTCTTTATGCCTACAGATGCAAACATGGAACACGATTACTAGTTTTTAGTGAAAATGTTCTAAAATTCCAAAGACAGAGATGTTGATTATAAAAATCAGACCAGGTAAGTATGAGAGAATGTGTCCATATGTGTCTCTCTTATTTTCTTTCTTTGTGTGTGTGTCTCTGAGTTCATAATATTGTTCCATCATCTTTTAAAAATAATCCACTTAACAGTTTATGCACTGCTTTGTATAAAAAAAACTCTCCAGACTGACGGTTATGTGTATATGATGGAGTCAGTCATGGAGACCAATCCTGGGAGCCTTAGGGAAGAAAAAAAGCACAGATTCTCCTCACAAGACGTCGTCACCTAGAAGAGCTCTGGGTGGCCAGCCAGGAAGCCCAGGAATCTTTCTGCGTCAGAGTTTTCTTCCATAGAAAACTGGCCTAGGCAATTTCCAACTCATCATTCTGTAGTAACTGGTGTTGCTGTCTCTTTTTTTCCTCACATGCCCTCCATAGCCCCCCACCCCTTGGACTAGAGATCATCTTGAAGGTATGGCAATGAGGTCCCTTAGCCCTACTTCTCTGAGCAGATAAATACTATCCATAAGACTTAAAACAAATCACTCCCACAGCTGGATGCTAATGCTTTCAGATCACATCAGATATAAGCATGCAAATAATTAATTTATCTCCCTAAAACTAAGTTAAATTACTACCTTCCTATTCAGGCCATACATGCCCATGGGCCAACAAATTAATATTTTTAAATGGCAAAGGTAGGGAAGAAAAAAGAAAGAGGAGGACAAAGGAAGGACAGAGAAAAACAAAAAAGTATGAGAAAAAAGGGGAAAGGGGAAGGGAGAATGAGAGCAGAAGTCTCCTTATCAAAACTCAAAGTTTGGCAAATGTTCACTAACCAACTCATTCTTATAAAAGCCCAGGAGGCTTTATTTCGAAATAGTTGCATAAAGACTTACGTGGAGGAATTGGATTTGGTTCCTTATTGGTTGGACCTTTTCCTGAAACAAAAACATAAATCACAATGCATTCCACAGAGAAACCAAGATTTAAGTAAAGGGTCATCAAAATCTCAGCAAAAGCTGACACTTCTCTATTTGTTAATAAATACTTACTTTGTGAAAGCTCTGTCATCCTCTTTAGATATCAAAACTATAACATGGGTTACCCAGGAACTTTAAGCATTGTATTTTATCGATCAAGTGTATATAGGCTCTCCAATTTGAAGGGAAACACCTAACCTTAGAGAATTTGAGTCTGACAATTCATGTACCTATGTGTGCACACCTTTATATTTAATTACAAAAGGATTCAATACCTTTCAATACCATGATCTTCCAGTGTATCCATATTATTCCACTTTCAAAATACCCTTTTACTTTAAGGTATGCATGTTGTGAGAGCATCCTTATCCTCCCATTATCCGATAGCTCAGCTCCTCTTCATCACCCGTCTGTGCTATCGGAGTCCTGTCTCCAACACCACCTCCCCTACAAATATTCCCTCCTCCACATCCGTCCCCACTGTGAATATTCCAGAGCTGATCATATTGTTGCCCTGACTAAACACCTTAATTATTTCCCATTATACAATTTTCCCATTATAGGGAAAAAATCCAAACTCTTTAGCATGGTACACAAAGTTCTCCCTCCCTCTCTTCCCACCTCTCTCCAGCCTCCTTTCCTGGATGGGGTCCTTCACCCATGCTGGGCTTCTCAAACATAGTTATTTAAGCCCTCATATCCTCCATGCTGCTCCGTGTCATCATGCTTTACAAGCCATCCCCTGAAACACCCTCCTCCCCTATACCTGCTTGTTGGCATTTCCCCTGGGAGGCCTCCCTGGCTCTCCCATGGCTCCATCTCCAGCCCATAGGGCTGGCCTCTCCCACCTTTGCTCATCCCATCCGTCTTCTGTTAGCTTGTGCCACACTGCGTTGTAATTTCCTATTTCCCCCCCTGCCCTGAGGGCAAGGTCTAGTTCCTATTATTTTGTATATCCTTAGGGCTCAGACTGGCAATAGAGTAGCCCTTCCAGAAATGTTTGGTGAAGGGGGATTAAAATGTTGGTGTACTCTTTGAAAATGGAGGCAACAGGGGAAACTAGGAATAAGATCATTAAAATGCTCATATGCTTTGATATTTCTATAATGCTTTTATGTCCATGAAGTGCTCCACAGGCAAGATCTCATTTGAGGTTTGCACCAGTGCTATGAGGGAGGCAGAAAAAGAATTTCTGTCACTATTTTAGAAATGAGCAGCCCGAGACTCTGATACCATGTGACTAATGCAAGGTCACAGCTGGAAAGCATCAGGGCAGGGGTTGAACCAGAATTCCAGATTCCTAGCAGGACAAATGACTGGAGAGCTTGACTCTGTCCCAGCGGGGGGAGCACTGACGCAGTCACTACTTGTGCACAGCTACCCGCTACCTTCCACGGCGAGACCTGCAGAGGCCAGGAGTTAGGGTACTACAGCCCACTTACTTTTGTATGGACCGTGAGCTAAGAACGGGTTCCACATTTTGAAATGATTTTTTTTAAAAAATCAAAACAAGAGTAACATTTCATGACAAGTGAAAATTATATGAAATTCAAATTTACTCCATAAATGAAGTTTTACGTGAACACAGCGATGCTCATTCATTTACGTATCATCTCGTCCAGGGCTGCTTTCACGCTGCAGCAGCGGCACTGAGCAGTTGACACAGGACTGTGTGGGTCACGGACACATATTCGACACCTGGCCCTTTAGAAAACGTGTGCTGAGCCCTGGCACAGACTCTGCCCTTACCCTTTAGAGTTTAAAAGTGATATGTGTTTAGCACCTCTCTTTTCAGCTCCATTTTCATTCATAAAGAAGGAACACAACAACCTTGTATTTCAATCTACAGGGAAGCAGAAAGAACTTGCGAAAATTTTACCCAAACAAGCAGCATTTGAGTTGATGTTTATAAAAATAAAGAAGCCAGACAGGGTAAAGACAACAGGATCATGAATTCTCTGTGTTAACCACCTCAGCTGCGTTGATCCCCATTCTTGTGGCATGAGTTATCAGTGGCCCAGCTCTGGGGGAAGGAATGCTACTGGGTGAATCAGAGCCACCACAATTGAATGGTGTCTCTTTGAATTGTGCAACCTGGTGGCCCCAGGAAGAAGACATATGCAAAAGTTACACTTCAATAAAATTATTAAGAAAATGTAAATGATTTTATGTTTTTAAGAAAATATGATTCAGTATGCAGAACACACACTAAGTATAAAATTCACTCCCCTGAGAGTTTGGTTCCATCAGCCTTACTGGCAGCAATAGCAACAGTGACGCTTTACATGTGTACATTTGTATAGCTTTCACTTATATTATCTTATTTTAAACACCAAAGAACCCCATGAAGTAGGGGTATCTAACCACAAAATTCTCCTACTTTCAAGAAGTAATAACTTGATTCACTGAACTAAATCCAAAGGCATTTAAAGGTCACTATAGTGTGCATCATGTGAGAAATATACACACTTCTGGGAAGAGTTCCATCCAATCAACTGTCTGTGGTTAAATATTGTCACTCAGAATCCCCAAGTGGTTTAAAAATGATGATTCTCTCCTAAGGAGACCTCACATGTAAAATGTAAGTTTTATAAAGTAAGGCCTTATGATTGATGGCATTGTTTTAAAATTGTTAATGCACTTACGTTATGATCTAATCTTCTACCCCCACCCCAAATAGGAGCCTTCGCACAGAGCTAAACAGAAACAGTTGTTGCTCATTTCCCCTGGGGTGAAGTTCCTTCATGGTTTCTGTGCACAAACAATAATAAGCACAGGCTGCAGAACTGAGGTTAAAGAATTCTGTCCTCTAACTTTTTTGTTCCCAAATCCCCAATAACCCGAGTATAACTAAAATAGTTTGATCTCTACCGGAACCCTATAATCGAGTTGGCATGCTAAGAGGAAAAGAGTGGACGTAACAATATTTACTTTTGGTTTAAGGATAAGATTGTAAGAAAGGAATCCTAGCTATTGCTGTAAAGAGAATTTTAACAATAAAGATTTCTTTACAGAAAGAACAAACTATAATCAACATTCTGAATTAAATCTTTTCATATACTCTGAGCAAATTTTGGTCTACCTCTAGAACCAAAATTTCCCTCCTCAGACTGTCAGGCATGTTTTTCAGGAACAGGATATTTCTGGGGTTATGCATGAGTAACTGACCGCAGCATTTGGCCTTCAGTTTTCAATCCAGTTCTCCTCAACACCGTAGGCCTAAGCAGGCCCACAGGGAAACAAGGCGTCAAACTGATACCCACATCTACTGGTGTTTCGCAAAGAGGGAAGGAAGGATGGGGAGAGGAAGTCTCCTCCTAGACACTCAGGAGGCCTTCATGCAGGCCCCACTGAAGACAGAGGTTTTTTACTAAACTTTACTTCACTGTAACTGAACCCCTTTCTCTGGGTTCCTTCAATATTTATGAAACTCATTGCAACAACCTGTTCACTTATCCTGCCACTAGACCAGTGCTTCTCACCTGGGGGTGACTTCTGACCCCAGGAGACATTTGGAAATGTCTAGAGACTTGAGGCATTTTGGATTGTCACAACTGGGGGAGGGGAGTATTGCTACTGGTATCTAGTGGCTAGAGATCAGGGATGCTGCTAAACTTCCTACAATGCACTGGACAGCACCCCCACAACAAAGAGTTATCCAACCCCAGTTTTGTTTTTTGCTGAAACAGGGTCTTGCTCTACCACCCAGGCTAAAGTGCAGTGGCATCATCACAGATCACTGTAACCTCAAACTCCTGGGTTCCAGTAATCCTCCTGCCTCAGCCTCACAGGGTCTACAGGTGCATGCCACCATACCCAGCTACCTTTTTTTATTTTTTGTAGAGATGAAGTCTCACTATGTTGCCCAGGCTGGTCTTGATCTCCTGAACTCAAGTGATCCTCCTGCCTCCCAAAGCACTAGGATTATAGGTGTGAGCTACCTCACCCAACCTTAGCCCAAAATGTCAACAGTGCTGAGTGAGAAACCCTGCACTAGTCTGTAAAGACATTAAAGACAGGATAATTTGCCTCCCGCATGCTTAGCATATGGTAGTTACTCAATAAACATTTTTTGGGAATAAATAACCATAAATACCACGTATATCTTATTATTGGTACTTCTGTAACAACCTAATCTTCACACTTTTTTCAGAGTAGTCTTCCTAAATGATCTAATCACTAGTTCCCCACTCAAAATCTTTTCGTGGCTCTTAACTTTTAGAGGTACACACTGGAATATTTATGGATGAAATTAAATGACTGATTTTCTTTCAAAACAATCCAGTGGATAACAGAAAGTGATAAAACAAGATTCACTATGAATTGGTAATTATTGAAACCTATTTTACTTTTGCATTTATTTGAAATTTTCTAAAACAAAAGTTTTAAAAATGTGAAGCACATGGAATTAAAAAAATCCCTGTGACATCCCTGTCCCTTATCGGATGGAAACTGAACGCCTTAGTCTGTCACGTAAGCATTTCTACCATCTTCCTGCTCAGTCTCTCCTCATCTCTACCTCAGCTGGAGGACAAAACCTGGCTGTTCTTTTAGAGTATTTTCATTCTGGAAAGATCAAAATGTGTTTCAAAAAAGTAATGCCTCTCTTCAATTAACTTCCAGTTGACGTTCATAACTTCCCCTTTCACTCCTCCCTGCCCCCCAAAACACCCTCAGTTTGGCTGAGAAATTGAGAGGAAAGAGAGGAAATTAACATTTACTGAGTGTCCAGGATATGCAGGCACTCTTTTTTTTCTTTAATTTGTGGTAGAAATATGGAGAAAAATTCAGCATTTCAAACATTTAACTTGCTAAGAATTAGATAAATATGTATGTATATAAATCATAGCAAATTTGGGAATGACATTTATTGCTCTCTCATGCTCACACTTTTCTTTGTACATGCACTAAGTTTCCTCTTGAACTTTTATGTAAGTTACTCCTCCCTTACACCATTTTGAAAAAGTCATCACTGTCGTGTTGTAACCATTTTTACTGTGTAAGCACAAGTGTTCTTAGATGCTGTAAAAAGTGGTCACAGAATCCAAAGCAAATAGCACTAACATGCCTATACTTCAAAATATTTCAAAAAACCATCTCAACTATTTTAATTGTTTTGCCATAAACCATAATATACATAAACTATTCATGTTTTCTGGGCTATTTTGTGAGCTACAAACCAAAATCATAGAACAACTCCTGAACCTTAATACTCTCCCAAACAGTTTATGTATTTCCCAACATCATAACCCTTTGGAAGAACAGACTTTTTCCCTAAAATTCTTCATCTTCCTTTCAGTTCATAATCATTAGTGTATTGGAGTGTTGGTTACCTTGAATACCAATGTGATATGGTATGAAGAGGGGTGGGAAGAGATTACTGCCCATGTTGCTTGTAGGGTTTATTAAAAACTATAATCAACCTCTCTCTGGGATAAGGTATAGTGTTTAAGAGCACAGGCTCTGGAATCAAAATGCCTGCACTTGAATCCCAGATCTATCATTAATATATGAAATTAAATATGATAATCCACTAAAGCATTTTACACAGAGCCTTGTACAAAGTAAATGTCCAATAAATGTTATTAGATCATCATCTGCATCTCCATCGTCACCACCACCAGCACCATCATCTATTGTTGAGAGTTTATGTAGTAAAAGAATCCTAACCCAATGCGAGTTCCCAGGGGACTGAGAGATCAAAGGTGGCAAAGATGTGCTCATGAAGGTTCCATTAAAAACAGTGACCCAGCGGAGGAACCCAAAATTATTTATTTAGTCTCGATGGCCGAATTTCGCTGTCTGCAGAAGGAAGCAACACTGCTGGGAGATGTCAGTGCTGCTGGCAGCAGCCGTCGCAGAGCAGCTCTGGGCCTGGCTGTGAAATTGCCAACTAGAGCCTTTATGTGCTGCCCTAGAAGACCCAACTGTCGAAAATAAGATGAATCAAATGAGCTGGAACTTTGGCATGGCCTTCAAAGAGCACCTGTGTAGTGAAAGGACAGTGAAGTATCCCATTGGTTGGGAATATTTTACCCCAAAAGTTAATCCCATGGTAAGTGATCTGCCTGCTCCCACAGATACTACAATAAATGGACACAAAGCTGTCTGGCAGGAAGACATTCATGACCCTGTTATTATTCAAATAAACCCACGATATTAAGCAAACAGTCATATATTCCCTTTTCAAATGACTCTTCCAATTCACTGTGAGGCAGAGAGAAAGCACAGACTCCAATGCATTGAGGAGAAATTATTTCAGAGTCAAAGGAAAATAAATATAAAAGGTGAGAGGAGTCACACACACAGCTGAAATCTTAGAAAGCAAATTTACATATAGCCCCTGGGAAGCTGGCGTGCAGTTTAACCTCCTCAATTTGTTTAACAAACCTAAGTAATACACTTTCTTCACCCACATGCTTCTCCACTAAAATCTAGTCTCAATTAGCAAATCTCATAAAACTACTTTGATATTTGGTAAAATTTTCCTCTTGAACTTTTATGTAAGAAAACATTGAACTTCCAATATAATTACGCTAAGTTTAAATAAAAGTAATTACCTAATTTACAAGAGAAATTACTTATAAAAATACCACCAGACTCAAAAGAAGAATGAATGAATTGCTGGAAGTTATACTGCTGCAGTATTAATGCCTAATTATTGTCTGGCATGGGAAAAAGCAAACTGCTGCCTTCAATTACCAGCAGAACTACCTCTTGCAAAATAGGTAAGAGTAACAGATGGAGGCCAAGGAGCCGCTGCTATTGTTAAACCACTCACTCTCATAGCGCAAAACAGAGCCAGCTGTTGTCCAATTGTGATTACTTTGCAACACAATTAATTTATTATTTCTTTCCCCTGAACCCAATAAAAAGGAACTATTTGAGCAATCCCTTTAAACAAAGACTATGGCTGTTATAACTTTCAAATGGTTGAAAACCAACCAATTAAAAACAACAACAAAAACGTTGCTGAGGAACCAATAAACATCTAACATGTACATTTCACACCAACTGTAGGATGGCCGGGAAATGAATTAAAGATTATTTTGCTTCTTCCAGCAGCATAGTTTAGTATTACAGTTGAAAGGGCCTCTGGAAGTCATCTGGGCCAAACCTCTTCTTTCCAGATAAAATGAAACCCAAAGAGGTGGGGGGAGTTCTCTGAGGCCCCACAGCCAGCTGGGGGAGAAAGCTGAGAGTGCCTCTGGGTCTCAGTGCCCTCCCCCTCCGTTCTCCTGCCCTTCAGAAAGGAGCATGCTCCTAGGAAGGGGCAAATTCCACCACCAGATATGACAATTAGGATGGCACTGCTATTTTCATAAAGGTCGCTCAACCAAATAAGAAACTGGACAGCACCCACATGCCTCTGTTCTGGTAGCTTCTGCCTGCTCCAGGGCCACCCCTGCTACCTAGCCTTGCCAAATCCCAATCCAACAACACTCAGATCAGAAATGCCATCCCAAGGCCATCTCAAACCCTAGATCTGGTATCAACACCACCCAGCAGGTCTCCCAGCTAATGCCCAGCAACTACAGCCAGGCAGCTCGCTGGCTGCTATTAAGGCCCTTAATGCCCAGGCAACTCTTTGACCCTCGGTGTGGTAGGAGGCAGCCTGCAGCTCAAGCCCTAAAATATCTAACCCTGGAGGCTTGGAATCCACTTTCACTCTCCCAGCCTTCTCTCTCAGTTTGATACCCTTAGACACCAATGTTTCTAGACAGTGACAACTGTAATTGCCTAGACAGTCCATGTGACATTTAGCTTCATTCCTTAGATGTTGACAGCTGCCTAGTGTGTTCTTGCTTATGTCCTTGGGGCTGTGATGCGGGTCCCTGGCAGATGCTCTCCACATGGTCCACAGGGCCCAGCTCTGCTTCCCTGCTGGTTTTGGCTGGCCTGGCCCATGCCAGGCCTGGCACTGCCTGCCTATCCTCCAGGGTACTGATGCCACACTTCTTAGGGCACATCCTTCTTGTTGGATGTGTCTGCACATGTAGGAAGATGTGGCTTGTTGGATGTGTCTGCACATGTGTCTGCACCCTTGGCTTCAAGCAACAAATGTGCTTGTGCAAACTCCTGAAAAATGAATTATAAAATGCATTTGGGCAGTGGTTCTCAATCTTCCTTCTGCTATGACACCTAAGATAAATCATGTTCACGTATATAACACCCTCTCTCTCAAAGGCACATGCAACTTTGACAAAGCAATATAATAGCCTGTAGCCAGCACAACCATTACCAGTAGGTCACAGAAAGCTGAGCTGTGGATCGTTTCCAATGCCCAGCATGCCGGGAATAACTCTAACCCTTTCTGGCAGACTCAGGGAAACATACTTGAATGCAAGGGAGAGTGACATTATGATAGGGACAACTCTGACCCTGATCTGATTTTTTGCAGAGGACTTGATGTGTATGTATCACAACTCAGCCACAATGGCAGAGAACCAGTGACAGAAAAGACTCTCCAGGCAAAACAACGCTCTTCCAAAGTTACTAATTGGCCCTTAAGTTATCTTTTGAACAACACTGGACTTTGATTCATGGTACTGGATTTTCTTAATGAGCAGCCCCCCAGACCCCTACTGTCTGAGCTCCCAAAGCGCACCTTTTGATTCAACTTCGTGGTGGACCACAGCCAGGGGCTTGGTGACCGTCTTCTTATTCTGCATCATGGCCCAGATCATCGAGGCATCCAGCGTGGTGCAGGCTTCATCGGGCGGCACGCACTGCAGGGGGGGGGGCAGAGCAAAGCAGGGTCTGGGGTCACTCGGCCTGCACAGCTGTCCCCTGGCCTTTTCTCACACAGCTCACAGCTGTTCACCACAGGAAAACAGATTTGGGTGTTTTTCAAAGAACCCCAAATCTGGGCGATTTTGTGGCAGGCCCAGTGTATTTTTCAGCTGTACTTGAAGATGTAAATATCACCGGATGGCATTAAGATAGTGTCCTTCCCCGTCCCCCCTTTGTTCACCACAAAACAACTAGAGGTCTTAGTGTTATTTAGTTTGAAAAACAGAGAAATTATATGACTAATGTTGCCCCTTCACCAGGCTGGCTTCACATAAATGGTTCATGTTTGTGATTTGTGATCGTGGGAAACTTCATGTACAGGTGCTCCTCAACTTATAATGAGTTACAGCCTGATAAACCCATTGTAAGTTCAAAATAGCATAAGATGAAAATGCATTTCACACATCTGACCTACAGAAAATCGTAGCTTAATCTAGCTGCCTTTAAATGTGCTCAGACACCTCTAGCAGCCTACAGTTGGACAAAATCATCTAACACAAAGCCTATTTCATAATAAAAATAAATAATAATAAAGTGTTGAATGTCTCATGTACTTTATTGAATACTACAAGTGAAAAACAGAATGGTTGTATGGGTAACTCAAAGTGTACAGTTTCTACTGAATGTGTATCACTTTTGCACGATTGTAAATTCAAAAAATCCCAAATTGAGCCATCATAAGTCAGGGACCATCTGTATTGCATTATGAATGTGACAGATTCTATATGTACTGTCCAAAAAGATGATCATGTTGTTGAGTTTGTCTAATTTTTAATCCTGGCACAGGCTCATGCGAAATTAAACTTTCTGGGGTCATCTGCTTTTAATGTTCCAAAATGCAAGTCCTGGGGAGTAGTGCCATGCATAGAGGCCATGAGATCAGCTGCTTCTAGCTATTGTAAGGCCTCAAACTTATTAACAAGCCTGCCTGTGCCCACTATATTTGTTTTGAAAATGTATGATTATACTCCAGTGTCTTTTCCTTTAAAATAACGTTGGGTTTTGTCTATACTCATCAACAGATGAAATTCTAATGTAAATGACACCCATTCGCTTTTGTTGTTAAGAAGAAATATATCAATCACTTAAAAAGATTATAGTGGGTATCCCAAAAACTAGTTAAGTTCCACTCTTCCAATCACAAAACAGCAATACGTTTAGTCCTGTCATTGCTACTCTGAGCAGCAAGCCAGTCAGATACACAATATGAGAAGACTCCTCCACTCTCCAAAAGAAAAGCTTTTACAACAGCCCTCTTGTAGAGGGAAACAATGGATTTTCTGTGGAGAGGCATGATTATTGGAAAGATTTACATTTACTTTTCTATTTTATTTTACTCTTACTTTCCTAATAGTTCCTCAGTTAAGTAAGAGTCTAAGATTCCATGTCTAACTCAGTGGGTGACCCTGGGTGAGACACTTCACTCTTTGGGCCTCAGTTTCATCAGCAAAGGGCAGGGTTGGACTCAACGATCTTTGAGAAGCCTCTTCCTAGAAAATGCTTTGGCTCCTTTATCGTCATAGAAAGCACTTAGAAGTGACTAGAAATATGGAAACACCACATATAGCCGGCAAACAGGAAGATAGTGTGTTAGTAACAGCTTATCCTAAACCTCTGCTGAAAAATGGAAAGTAGTTCTATCTACTGTCTCATTTGCTCCTCTACCCAGGAGGGAAGCCAGGTATCACTATTTCAGTTTTACAGATGAGCAAATACAGGCTCTGAGGGGCCAGGGACTGACTTAAATCCCCATTAGGAGGCAGCAGGCCTTCCTTCTCAGTCCCAGGCTCTCCCCACTGTATCCTACCTTGGGGATGAATGGTGACTTGGGGTTTGGGGTCATGTATATCCTATCATGTCATCCCCTGGGACTTAGAACTCTCCTTAAGAGTGTTCTGGAAGGAAATGTTAGGATTAATTTTTATAGATTAATACACTGTGAAGCTGGGCTGTTCCAGGCCAGGCTTGGAGAGAGGTTAACAGACAAAGCCACCAGCAAAGAGCACTAGTAACTTCCCCTCCCAGGCTCTTCACTCCTAAAAGACATCCTTCTGCCTACAGGCAGCAGCTGGGTCCCACAGCCAAGCATTCATTAAGTTCTCTCTACCGCTGTACACTAAACCCCAACCTTGAGGGCCACTGGAAGGTGAATGCCCACAAAGCTAAGGCAACAGTATTTCCAGAAATAAGCCAATGAATACAGTCTAAATCACCTGGTATGTGCTCCCTAATAACGGTGAACTCTATTTGCTGAATTTGCATATATAAACAAAATTCTCTTTGGCCTTATCAGAGAAATGGATGTCCAGAGGAATATAATGGTGAGAGGGACTCAGACCAACAGTAATCTGTCCTATAATAGAGACACTAAAAACTAACAGCTGTGTATTAAAAGAGAATATTCCATACATACATTATTAATTGTACAACTTGATTCTTAGCCTTTTAGGCATCGATTGAAATGTGACTACAGAAGGATGAGAAGTCAGTTTACACTGTGTGAGATAGCTACAGAATAAATGCACACATGAAATTATACAAAATTATGGCAGATCACAGGGACACAACTATAGCAGAAGATACCTTTCACACATAAGGCTAGCCTACACGGTATCATAATTAACCTTGCAGGTCTCCCCTATCGTAGCCACTTCTCCAAGGTCAAATGGTTCTGATTTTTGTTATGGCAACAGAATATGGCGAGTGACAGAAGGCAAACACGATGAACTGATATGAAGCTGAGAAAAACTTAAATATTTGTTAGTTTCCCTTAGAAGTCCTCCTGAGACAAATGAACCTTGTAACTCACACAGAGAAGGCTAAAAAACAATTACAATACAAGTCTCAGCGGGACCTGGAAAAATTAATCCTCACACTGAACTTGTCCTTTCAGCTCGTTGTACTTTTGGCACCCCACACTATCTGAAAAGCAAAGATAAAGCCAGACCTCCCCCTCAATGGAAAACAGTCTTGATTTATCACTTGTAAGGTATTACGCTAAGTGAAACGCATGGAAAAAAAAAAAAATCATACTGTCAGGATTTATTCTCTAAGACTCTATAAAACTCACTGTTCCCTGCTAACACTGACTTTATTACTTCAATTGGGCAGTTGCAAAACCAAAAACTTTAACGTGTACAAGCTTAGAATTAAGCTTGTCCAGTAGATCACTGCCTTATCTGAAAATGACAAATTAACGGTCCAAATGGAGGAAGGCCCACTAACCTTAGGCAACTTCTGGGGGTCCTTCTTCTTGGTACAGAGCGTCAGCTCACACTGTAGAAAGAGCAGTGAGGTGTTGAAGATGGGCTTGAAGATGAAGCTGAATCGCTTCTTATCCATCTCGGCTTGTGGGATAGGAAAGTGCACTCTCTTGGGACTATAGAATTTCACAGATTCATCTTTAGGACAAATGTTCTCAATGATGGTATAATCAGACATCTTATCAGGGTCCGAATACGGAGATATAAAGCATGTTTGGATAGCGAATCCCAGTTCCTGGTCAGCCTTAGTAACAGATACCTACAACAGAACAGAAAGATGAATTCGGAAATGAGTTATTAATAGCATCTAACTTTAACTTTATGCACAAGGGCACTATACCAACATAGCCCTTCAGAGGAGACATTGCTTTATTTTCATAACATTTATATATAGCTGCCTTTCTAATTACAAAATTAACATTCATTCTTTGAAGAAAGATTATTTTCCATTTAAACCTGATATGGATGATGATAGTCAATTATTTCGTTCCAATACCAGTCTGGCAAATTCAAATACAAGATGAGTAAGTCTCTTCAGTCTCCCATAAGTTCTCTGAGAGATAAAAGCAAGAAGCACACCAGGCACTTAAAGTGAATTTTCCAAAATAAATAAAACACCAATAGGCAAAGCCCCTCACGTCATAACAATGTAATACGTGAAAGCCAAGCTCTTTTTAAAAATTGCTCATAAAATAGAGTACAGAGGCAGAAATCTATTTAACCTAGGCAGAAAGACTGAGCTTTTAAATTGTAACAGGTCAGAGTAAGCCTGGAACATGGCAGTAAAGCTTACCCATTCATCTAGGTCCTGCTTCATCAACAAGAAGGCAGAGCTGGCCTGGTACTGGATGTCAGGGACAGTGCAATTTGGTGGCCATCACAGGCCTGGCAAAGTGTCCCAGCTGCTCATAGGTCCAAACCAGCCTTGCCAAGTACTTTCCCTTCAGTCTTTAAGACCAGGAGTAGTTTAAGGGAAATCTAATCTGGAAATGATTCCAACTCATTTACACGTCCCTCTTACAAAACATTTGTATGGGCTATGTCCAAATGTTGTTAAGGTTCTTTTCTTTAGAAACGAGAAGTAGTGTTTAGCCAAGTATAAACAGAATTCAAACCTCAACTATCCTGAACTCAGCTAAAACCCCCAGACCAGCTTGGATTCTCCATTTGGTGACACAGGGATCACTGTGTGAACTGCTCCTCCCCCCTTGCCTCACTCCTTGACTAAACTTAGGATCAAAACAAACTTTAACACTTTAGAAATAAAGTTAGTCTGGTTACTCATAGGCAAAAAGCCTCAGAATCATTTCGAAAGGCATGGAGATAGAAACAGAATTTCCATGCTGAGATACCCAGGGGAAATCCCTGACATCATGAGGGGTTTAGAATCACGGCACCACGGGTTCAAAGCGCCCCATATAGATACCTCTGTGGTTAACTACAAGACACGCAACAATGGAGATGACGAGAAGCCGAAGGATGCAGATGAAGATGATTATGATAATGTCACCTTGTGGTCGCCTTTTATAAATACTGACACTTCGTTATTTTTGCAATATTTTTGAAAAACAAGATATTCTATCTAGGAAAGACGGCAGGCTACTTACATGCTATTACTAAAAAGTATCCTTTAATGTGAATTCAGAACCCACATTACAAAAATGTGTAACAGAGTGACTTCAAGTCTTTTCTCTAATCTCAAATTATGTAATGGCAAAATGTCTAGGGTATCCCAAAAAGTTGTATCGGAGGGGAGAAAATATCACCAGCAATATCTTTTACTCTAAAATAGACTGGAAATGAATAGAAGGATCACGGGCTTTGGAGAGAGACAAGTTCAATGAAATCACATGTTTTGCCACTCACGTGCTGTGTACTCTGAGACTCAGTTTCCTCACCTGCAAGACGAGGACACTAGTATATTTATGAGACACAGTTATGGTGAGAATTGGTAAAGAAAAAGTTCTATGCAAACAACACAGTTTCCAGACAATCAACGAATGCCACCTATTATAGTAGTACTGTTCTAGATTTACAATTTTTATGGCAATTAACGGTTGTTTATAGTTGTTATAGTTGTTTATGTAAGTTTTACTTAACCTGAGTAAAACATTTTCCTATCAGCAGTGGAGTCCAAACTGGGAAACAAAGATTAAGGCATGGCTGCTATCCTAATTAGCAAAACATTTACAGATTCTATCTTGTAGTTTAAAACAACTTTAAAAGAGAGTAATTTATAACATTTTCCCTCTCCCCAAAGTCTCCTTAATATGCTTGATATTTAAAGTGGTAGCAAAAAGATTCGGTTCATTTCTTTTTAATCACTTGACAATGTCTTTTTCATAATTACTAAATTTAACTACAAAAAATATAGATGAAATATGAAGATATAAATGGGAAAACAAGAATGAAAAAAAAAAAAAACCCTACCAAAAACATATTTCAAGTAAGCCAGCACTGTAGGCATGGGGTGGGGAGGGGAAACTCAAACTATCCAGGGTAAGATGCACAAGGAAGATTGGCCACTGATTAGCATAAACCAGCAAAGCCATGAATTAGCAAAGCCAGGCACACATTTGGAGAAGCACAAATTGCACTTAAGCAGCACCCCTAAAATCCACAGCACAAGAGAGAGTCACTGACCAACTGCACATGTGGACGGCGCAGCCAAAAAAGCAAAGGAAAACAGCAGTCTTGGATTAGGAGTGATCTATGATTAGGAACAGCATGTAGAAAGCAATACATTTTTCACAGTGGAGAAAAAAGTTGTACTCAAAGAAACAGAAGAACTCTCAGAACAGGGAGTCAAAAAGAGGAGGGGCAGAATCCATATGATCAAGGAAAATAATACCTAGAGCCAGCAAGCTCCATCCTAGAGTTAACACAAATGTGAGAGTTCCTTGTCTTTCCCAAATAGAAATATGTGCATTGAAGTCCCTTTAACTGTGGAAATACCCCATTTCCACCTCATAAGCTTCTCACCCCTCCCACCGTAAAGGAGCACACCAGCTTGCAGCTCAGCACCAAACACCTGCTCAGAAAGGTAACGACTTTCCCATAAGCCCAGCAGACAATATACCCAGTGGAAACACTACATGTTGTACCAGGGCACAAAAAACAACAGATCTCCTGGTGCCATAAGATTTATCTTCTCTAGAATCCAATCTGTGAACCTGGATATCTGCACTGATAAGAGGTTATGTTTTCTCCCCTTTCAAATGGCACTTTGAGGATAAATGATAGTAGCATCCAGTGGAGAACAGGGTGAGCTCTGCAGACAGAAGGCCTGAGTAAGAGCCCTGAATCTGAACCCTGCTAGGCACTAGCGGTGTGACCTCAGACAAGCTAGTGTCTCAATTTTCTCATTCATAAAATGGAGATAGTATTAGTCCTGTCTGTCATATAAGATTGCTCTGGGGGGTTGATTAATTGCTACAATACTTATAACTGCGTTTGGCACATAAATCTGCTGTAATGTTAGCTGTCATTTCATTATTGCCACCACTACCTAATATTTTGCAGTCATTCCAGATTTATGCTATGCTTAAATTATTATTATTATATATATCAGAAATAGTTTTAATAATTTATACAGATATTTAGATGATCTAGAAAAAACAATTTTTATGAGATAGGGTAGCATGCAGCATTAACTTAAAAGTGAGTATAGGCCGGGCGCTGTGGCTCACGCCTGTAATCCTAGCTCTTGGGAGGCCGAGGCGGGCGGATTGCTCAAGGTCAGGAGTTCAAAACCAGCCTGAGCAAGAGCGAGACCCCGTCTCTACTATAAATAGAAAGAAATTAATTGGCCAACTGATATATATAGAAAAAATTAGCCGGGCATGGTGGCGCATGCCTGTAGTCCCCAGCTACTCGGGAGGCTGAGGCAGGAGGATCGCTTGAGCCCAGGAGTTTGAGGTTGCTGTGAGCTAGGCTGACGCCACGGCACTCACTCTGGCCTGGACAACAAAGCGAGACTCTGTCTCAAAAAAAAAAAAAAAAAAAAAAAAAAAGTGAGTATAATTTAAAAGACAACCTATGAGGTGGTTTGCAATATTTCATGGTTAACCCTGGCATTGCAACTACTGAACTATTAATACTATTTCAAAAATGCTAAGCACAAGGCAAGGACAGGGCTCTATCAGTAGAATTTACATTCTTATTGATTTTTTTAAACATTCATCAACAAAATATACTCTCCATTTAGCATAATGCATTAAATCCTGAAATTTCCTGTTTTGATTGGAAATCAACCTGGAAACGTTCTCTGAGCCAAGCCCTCAGCACATCTGGTCAAGGTCTGTGAGAAGGGGCAGGAAGAGGTCTGCAGGGGGTGCTTTAGCTACTGCCAGGGAACTGTAACTCAGCACTAACCTAAAAGCCCAAGGCCAACTTGGGTCTCACCTCAACATAAACGTGTCCGTTCTCTGCCACAGAGAAGACCCCCTGGGAGGGCACCAGAAAGAGGTCAGTGTTGTAGAGCTCCATGTTGAAGGTGATGTTTCCGTGGAGCTGGTCCTGGAAGCTAGTGGGATTCCTCACCTGCCGCAGGCTGCAATTAAACTGGGAAAAAACCCAAACAAATGAAGATAAATCATAGTCACAAGAAGTATGAAGGCCCTGTAGCTTTATGAGCTTTGGCCTTTAACATCTGATTTCATTTTTTGATTGTCCTTAATTAAAGTCAACAAAATAGACAATGTTCTCTACAAACTACCCACTGATAACAAACACTTACCACCACAATTTCAGGCCAGCTGAGTAAGGAAGCATCTCCTTCATCCATATCTCCTGGAAATCCATTATCACCTGATTCCAAATCTTCATAACCATCTGGCCAACCACTACTATCCCCAGGGAATGGAACCTGTATGACAATCTAAAAAGCAAAGAAAGCACAGCCAATGTTATAAAAACACCGAACCATAAGCATTTGGTTCTCTCTCATATGAACACCCATGTAATAAATTCAGATACAAATTGAAAATCTGACTTTAAAACAAAAAAACCTCCAAGCTTTTTAGGATTTTACCCTCAAAGCAATAAAGAATAAGGAAAAGTTCGATGCAGGTTCCAGTTAAAGTCTGAACTAAAATTCATATTTTCCCTTACAAAACAATATTGATTTATTTTATAACTATATTGAATAATTACAAATTATTTAAATCGTGGGAAAACACTGGACGCTGAAATGGAGTTGAATGGACTTGTCAATGGGGATACCTATAACCTGCGAGAAGAGGGTTCTCCTTAAGGGTCTTTATATTAAAAGCTCTAAGAAATACTAAGAGTTGGCTATTGCCAAGAGCTTTTGTTATTTGCATCCCTTAAGATTTGTAGAAAATTTGGTTTGAGGGTTAGGCATCTAATCCCAGCACTTTGGGAGGCCGAAACAGGAGCATTGCTTGAGAACAGGAGTTGGGAGACCAGCCTGGGCAACATAGCCAGACTCCATCTCTACAGAAAATTAAAAAAAAATTAGCCAGGCATGATGGCAACGCCTGTAGTCCCAGCTACTTGGGAGGCTGAGGCAGGAGGATCACTTGAGCCCAGGAGTTCAAGGCTGCAGTGAGTTATGATGACACCATAGCACTTTAGGCTGGGCAAGAGACTGAGACTCTGTCTCTAAAAATATAGATGATTGATAGATAGATAGATAGATAGATAGATAGATAGATAGATAGATAGATAGATAGATAGATAGATATAAAAGCAAAGAAAGAACAAAGAAAAAGAAATTTGGCTTATGTTAGTAGCAAAGGACCTAATTCAAGTAAAGGACCTTTACTATGAAGCCAATCTTCTCATCTTTGCTCTTACACTCTATCTTTTGCTCATTTCTTCCCCAATATCTTTCTGTATGGTGTATGGATGCAGGAAAGAACAATATGTTTTATTCCAGGACAATCTATCTTAACATTGGTTGAAATTATTATTCCTTGATTAGTTCAAAATAAAATGGAAAAACTCGCCCAAAGATGATGACCCCCTAAATAAAACCCTAATTTCTTGAAAACGAAGGAAAACCACTTGTCTCTTCTTTGCCAGGTCCTCAAAAGACAGTATTAATACCAGAATTGTAGGGTCATAATAAATAAATGAATGAATGAAAGTACTGATGCAACTGAAGCAAGTATCTAGGATATTGCTAAGCCTGAACATCATAATAAAGAGCTGAATGGTGAGAGCCTGTAGTCTCAGCTACTTGAGAGGCTGAGGCAGGAGGATCACTTAAGCCCAGGAGTTCAAGACCAGCCTGGGCAATGTAGCAAGACCTTATCTCTTTAAAAAAAGAAAAAGAAAGAAAGAAAACAAAAATATATGAGAAATAAGAAAAAAAGGGACTTTCAGGGGTCATGATATATGCCCTTCTCTCCTGAAGCAACCAACACGTTTTACTCAACAGATATATTACTCTAGCCTCTTATTAGTATTAACTTAGATATCAGTTTTAAAATGCCAAAATCAAGTTTATCAGTAATATATGACATTCATTATCTATAGAAAAACTGGATACATGTAAGAAAATTAGTGTTGTAATCAGTGGGAAGTTACAGGTTAAACCACAGGTTAATAAATTAATTATTCGAGTAACAAAGGGAGATTAGCTGGGCTAGTCTGGCGTCAGGGAAAGGTTAGTGGATGAGAGGTCAGGAAGCTGGCTTCAATCCTGGCTCTGCCATTAACTAGACCCTCACCTCAAATCTAAGCAAGTCTTTCAACTCCCCGGAGTTCAATCTCCTCACCTGCGAAATGAGGAAGTTGAATGAGCTCATCTTGGGGTTCTTTCCAGCTTCAACATTCTAAGATTCTCCGAGGAACAATAAATTTGGGCTCCCAGGAGAGCCACTGCTCGTGAACCACACTGACCAGAGCCCCTGCTTGCCAGCCTCTCTGCTCTGACCGCCAAACACAGAGGGTGAATGGCTGTAGAGAGAACTTGTAGCCACAGCCCACCCTACCCCATGTCCCAGCTGGGGTGAACCCTAAGAACACACACCACCACCTTGTGTCAATGGTGGACACAGGGATCTCTCAGCCTTGTTTTTACCATCAAAAGTACAACCCAAACTTCAAAATTAGCACTTTAAAGTTCTTTTTGAGATTTAATGTTTCAAATTCTTTTAATACTCACTGCCTGGTTTCCATTTCTAAGAGAATGGATTTAATCTGAAAAGATGCAGATGAACTGACGAGGAGGGTTTCTGGAAAGTGAGGGTTAGCTATTGCAATGGATTATCATTGAGCGAACTCTGTGGATCTTTCTCCAGGTAACCTCAGAAGTAGGAGATTTTCTTCAATTTAGGGTCTTTGTGAGAGGTGGAGAGACTTAATAGTTTCTTAAATGCCCCTTCCAGATTTTAAATTCTCATTTTGGATCTTTATTCATGAGTGAGAGAGAAGTCCTCCTACTTCTGGGCAAGACTCAAATAAGGCCAGAGAGACCACACATCTGGTTGGGGCGGCTGTGGAGAGGCGCTTACTCACATAGCTCAAGGCCTTGGCCCTTATCCGCATAAGGACCAGGGCAGTTTGGCTACAGAGAGAAGTTGTAATCACCTTGCCAGTGAGCCTTTTGCCATCCAGGGGATGAAAGGAAGGGGTGGGTGAGATCACCCCAACTCCAGCTGAGAAAACAGGGCCTTCCAACTCCTTTCAAAGACTCACCAATAAAGCAAATAGAACAAAAGGGTTCCAGGTCAAAGTACACCCTATTTGTTCAGAAGTGACACTTGGCTTTGTTCAGGCCTGGGGTACATGCCCTCTCCTCATTTTCATAGAAATGTTAAGACTAATTCTAAGGTAACTAGCAGCAAGGCTCTGGCGAAGGGCAAAAAGCTTTGTTCTAGAGAACACTCACAGAGTTATAGTAAACCACACCATCGGGGGCCGACCGCCGGTGCCGAGTACCGCAGCCATTTAGGGGAGACTCCAGCACGAAGTGGGTGCCGTTCATCCTGGCCTTGCAGGCAGGATCCAGCAAGGTGAGCTCCATCCCCGAGTAGCCACTGGCCTGAAACAACAACCACCAAAGACATAAAGGAGGTGGGTCTGCTGCCCTGGGTCTCCCAAGTCAAGGCCGCTAGAGGCCCGCAGCACACCCCTCCCCCACTCCTCTCCTCCCAGCCGCCCACCTCTAACAGCCCAAGTACTATGTTTGTTAGCCTTGGAAATGCAATGGCAAAATATTGACACACACGGATCTGGAACCTCCCCTCACTGAGAACAACAGGAACTGGTGAGAATCGCAGCCAAAGGGAAGCAGAACCATCCAACTGAGCAAACAGTATTAAGTCTCTGGAGTTCAAAAGTGAAAGAGATAAGAGGAAATAATGGACATGGACTGGGACTGGGGTGAGGTGGCAAACGAGGCGGCCTCTTCTCTCCCCTGTAAGTGATTGTACTGACCTGAAAAGAATCTTTTTCTACAGCCACGATCATCTTCTCGTTGTCACATTTGACTGACAGGGCAACATCCATGCTTCCGTGCACCTCTTCTGGCTCTCTGGGGCCAGGAAACAGCTGTATGCTGGGGATGGCAGGGTCCCTCGGCCGGGAGATCCCATCTTCTCCCCCTTCCCTCCAGCCTCTCCTAGAGATATCTGAGAAAGGAAAGGGGAGGCCTCCACTTCGGCCTCCCCCACCCCGGACGGGAGGGTTCTGCAGTGCGGGCAGGGTGCCAGGGTCCAGCAGGATCCGTAGCTCAGGAGGGATAGTGTGGACTTCCTCATCTCTCATCTCCTCTGGCGGTGACAAAGAAGGCAAACTGCATCAGTGTTTGGTGCCAGGCCACGACCATCATCATTAGAGATGGAACAGGAGGAATTAGCACACTCTGCACAGGTATAAAATTACTTTTAACAAGCAATGCATAAAAGTGATTAGGAGTCTGGAAGGCTGAATTCTAGGCCTGATGTCCTAACTAGCTGAGTGGCTTTGAGCAAGTGGCTTACTTCTCTGTGCCACAGTTTCACAATTTTAAAAATGAAGGGGCTGGAATTGATCAGAGGTTCTCAACTTTGGTTGTACATTAAAATCATTTTGGTATATACAAAGGAGTATTATATATGGTCACGAAAATGAATGAAATCCTGCCATTTGCAACAACATGGATGGAACTGGAGAACATCATGTTCAGTGAAATAAGCTAAGCACAGAAAGACAAATCTTGCATTTTCTCACTCATATATGGGAGCTAATTATTAAAAACAATTGACCTCATGGAGACAGGGAGTAGAATGACAGTTACCAGAGGCTGGGAGGGATATTGGGGAAAGGGAGGTATGGTGGGGATGGTTAATGGGTGCAAAAATATAGTTAGATAGATAGAATGAACAATATTTGATAGCACAACAATGTGACTATAATCAACAATATACTTTAAAATAACTAAAAGAGTGAAATTGGAATGTTAACACAAAGAAATGATAAATGCCTTAGGTGATGGATACTGAAATTACCCTGATTTGATTAATTCACACTGCATGCCTGTATCAAAACATCACATTTACCCTATAAAGACACACACAATTATTATATACCCATAATAATTAAAAAATTTTAAAAATCACTTTGGGAGCTTAAAAAATATCCCTATGCTAGGTTGTACCTCAAGCCAATTAAAACTCAGACTTTCTAGCGAAGGACCCAATCATTACTATGTTTTAAACTCCCTGTATAATTATAATGTGTAGCCAAGATTGAGAACCAATGGGATTTCTAGGGCTCTACAAGCTACAAAAATCTGTGATTCAAGTAAGTTATATGGGGCAATATAATTCCATTCAAATGCCATTGAAATACTTTTCTTGAATCTAGAGATTCTTTTAGTTTCTCTAAAGATGTCTTGAAACAATATAGTTATTTTAAAATTATTATTTTGCTACCTCCTTTCTTGACTTCTAAATTCTAACAGGTATCTGGGCAACCTGGCCTTTTAGAACCTAGTCCCTAAGGGGAAAGGAAAGAGCTACTTAGGCACACTTACTCCTTCAAAGGGAGAGACATATTTCCATACAATTAATACTCAGTATTTTGTCATAGTTTCAATAATTTAAAAGAAATAATAATTTCCCCAGTATTCTTTAAATCCACTATCTAAAGCCAACAGATGTACACCCGAGGTCAAGTCCATCTCAGTGGAAGCTGGAAGCGAAGATGACAGGTGGACATTCTCTCTCTTTCAATATTATTATTTTGAAAAAGATGCTACAAAAGTATGGATCCAAAAGAAGTCAGACCTTTGGAGGACTTTTAATTTGTATTTTAACAAAAACCTTCACAACAACCCTGTTAAGGTAGGTCTTATTATTTTCTCCCCTATTACTGGAGAAGAACCTGAGGCTCAGTGGTTTATTGACTTCTCCCCAAATAGTGAATAAATGGCAGAGCAGGGACTTGAACCTGTAACTCCCAATCATCATTCTATTGGCATTACACTCAGTAGTGGTACCGTGGAGTGAGGAACAGGTATGGAGATCAGAAAACCTGGGGTTTGAGTCATACGAGCAGTAAAACTCTGGAAAACCTCAAGAACTTGTTGAGCCTCTGGTTCCAGCTCCATCAAACTGGGGTAGTAACTCCTGCCTGCATTCTGGGTAAGAAAGCCCAAGTATGAGTCCCCATGACTATTATCCTGTAAGATTCAGCCTCTGACTGTGGCCTTCACCCATCTGTATTCTCAGCCATAAGTGGTGGTTGGGTGCTTCTAGGAGAAGAACCTAATCATGCTGGAGACGATCTGTAACAAAGTTCTCTGCTGTGCAGCCAACTCTATGTTACTGAAAAACCCGTATTAAAGACAGTTTCCCTAAAATAATCTATCATCATTCTAGATAATTTTAAGTCTTCTGGTAAAATGTAGTTAAACAAATTATTAAAATGTGCAACAGAAAAATAGCACCATATAAACTGAGAGTTTCCCACCGGAAAGCCTCATTTGGGGGACATTTTTTAAATTCGTACTTACCATTGTTTTCAAGCCGAAGGTGAAATCTGTTAGCCACAGGAGCCATGGTGTATGATGTTATTGGACTGTAGCCATTGTTCAAAGCCCATTTCATCAGATTCCCTTGGGTTGAAGGAATGTCTTCTCTTATTGATTTGGTCATTGTCATGGATCTTTCACTCTCTTTCCCAAAGCCAATACTGTTAGGAGCCTGAAGACAATAGCAAAATTTCACTCATGAGTCTAAAATTAAACAGTGTTTTAAATAATAATTAATATCTGAAACAAAAATAGATTCTATAATGTATGTGGGGGAATTATTTATTCTTTTGATCCCTATTTTCCTTGGGATAAGAAAACTGAGGTGCAAACCTTTAACAGCAGATTAACAGACACTGATGCATGCTGTTTGATCATATCATTTGGATCTTATGTTGATAAAAAAAAAATCAAATAACATGTAAGTAGCTATACTCTAAGTATACCTAGTTCGTAACTCTATAATCTAATGTTTAAATTATTAACACACACACCAAGTATGTATAACACTTTCCCTTATTTTTATTTAAAATTATGTATAAAGTATAATATCCAAAGTACATGTTATATTGCTTAAAAATGCTCATACTTCTACTTCCAGTACCCCTAGATTTATATGAAAGATGACACAATCTAGTTATGAGTCATGCATCACCTAAGGACAGGGATATGTTCTGAGAAATGCGTCTTCAGGTGATTTCATCACGTGAACATCACAAAGTGTACTTACACAAACATAGGTGGTATAGCCTGCCACACACCTATATGGTACAGCCTGTTGCTCCCAAGCTACAAACCTGTACAGCATGTCACTGTACGGACTACTATCAGCAACTGTAACACAATGGTAAATATTTGCATACCCAAACATATCTAAGCACAAAAAAGGTATGATAAATATACAGTAGAATAATCTTTTGGGACCACTGTCATACATGACCATTCACCAAAACGTTATGTGGCACGTGACCGTACTCCAGTGTGGAGATTATGCCGTTTTTATAAACTATTAAATTCTATGTGCTTAAACAACCAATGTTTATATTTCATCTATAATTTATGATCAATTTAGCAATCCTGTAATTGTATTCATTTGCCAATTGTATTACTGAATATGCTTACATTCTATGCTCTAAAAATGAATTAGGCCGGGCGCGGTGGCTCACGCCTGTAATCCTAGGACTCTGGGAGGCCGAGGCAGGAGGATTGCTTGAGGTCAGGAGTTCAAAATTAAAAATGAATTAATTTAGGTTACTGTTCCTCTAAATATCAATATTTTGTCCGATAATACAAGTCGCTCAGTAAGATTAGCTTGCACTAGATAACTAGTTACAAAATCAAAATGATAGAAATATTTTTGGCAAAGTATGTAAGTGGACCCTGAGTAACCAGGACATGGAAGGTAAATTTCCACACCACCTCAGGACTCCTGCGGCAGGATCCTGGCGGAAGGTGAGGGAGCTGAATGCTGCGGAGGGGACCCCAAAGGGAAAGCACCAGATTTTCAACAACTGCTCCAGCAGGGCTGGAAAGCCCTTCCAGCATGCAGATTATGCCATTTTCATGCTGTATGAAAATCACTTTAATTTCCATGCCCAATGATTTTCTCCTGCATACATGCAGCATTTTTCCTAAATTCCTCATTTGTTTCCCATTCTCTTTGCCCCTAACATGACTAAATATTAATCCTTTCCCACTGTAAAACCATAAAAGATTCACAGGCTCTAAGTTCTCTTGGCCTGTTTGGTTGTGGGATATTGGCTGAGGACACATATTTCAATTCAAAGCTTAAAGGATCTCACCTCGTGTGTTTTCCTATTACCCAAAGTGCTTATCTGTGGGAAAACTGCCAGGCTCACCAGTCACGACAACTGCGCACAAAGGATCCAGACAGAGCTCTGCCCAGGCTCTGCAGCCATGTGTAAACTCAGCTCAACAGATTCAGAATACTTTAGTTCTAACTCCAATTCAAAGAAAATTCCTTAGGGGAAGGAAGGGTTAAAAGAAAGGAGGAAGTGAGGGAAGAAAGGAAAGTAAAATGAGGTAAAGAAGGATCCAATTTGTTCTTAGAACTTTTTTTTTTTTTAAGCTAAGAAAAACCTGGTTGAGAGCTTTTTATTCATTTAGTCAACAGCAGTTTCTTAGGCACAGCTTCTTCCAGACTTTCAAAGCAGCCTGTCGTTTGGATTGGCTGGAATCACACCACTGGCCTAAACAATACTGCTTGGCCTCATCTGCCCTAGTTTTTCATGTTGCTCTACAGCTGAGAAAATATCTTATTTCCAGAATACTATCATCATAACTGCCACCTGTCCTTTTGTACCAATATGGAATGATCTGTTTATACCTTTCCACATTAAATCTAGGTGCTATACATCTCATATTGATTATGCCTCAGAACTTAAAAGGCTAGACATCCCTCTTTACATTTGTAAAGCGGCAAGGTTTGGGACAATAGCAAGCAAGGTGGTTCCCAGGTTGAACAAACTCCTCACCCTGTTTTTCTAGGAGTCTTCAAGCTTTTTCCAACTTTAGTGGAGCTACTCCAAATGAGGGTATTCAAGGAGGTCTCCAAATAGTACCACTATCTTTCCAGCCATAGCTTCATGAAAGGTGATGAGCTAGGTAAGGAGTCCAAATGCCTATACTGCCCCACTCCCAATATCTGCATCAGCACTGATGGCATAGGGGAGGGGGATGTTTGGGGAAGGGGCTGGCCAGAGGGTGCGATGCATATTCCCACTGAGATTTAAAAACGTTCTTTCCTAACAACAAACTGACCAGCACCAACCTTGAAGTCCTGAAGCCACATGAAATAATGTAAGAGGAAACCTTTAACAAGTTTACTCCATCAATTCTTTTATGTTTTGGAGGTTCCTCCTACCATAAAAGTGATTATGCATGGTCCACAGCAGACCTGAGGAACGAGCCAGAGCCGGACATGGCGATGCGGACATCTCTACCCCTCATACACATGCACAGGCCACCCATGTTTAATGGTGCTCTTTTTCAAATTTATTCCATCAAATTCCTTGCAATTCCTTTAGCAGACATTTTTGTGTTCGCCTTGTTTAGAGAAGTACTTTATTGTTCTTACAGACACTCTTAACAGGTTGCCTATGGAAGGCTGCCTATGTCTTCTTCTTATGCCAGGCACTGTGCTAGCAGCTTTACGTATATTATCTTAGTTAATTGTCCCCCAGAATATAGGGAGAAAAACATTACTATTCCTTTTTTAGAGAAGGAGAACCTGAGACTCACAGAAGTAGCACATGTAACTGAGAGTTCACCACGTGTAGGCCACGTGGCCACATCGTCCAGTGCTTTAGGTGAAATACTCTGTAAGCCCTTAACAGAGAGTTGTTGAATGAATGAATGAATGAATGAATGAATGAATGAATGAATGAATGAACGAACGAACGAACGAACGAACGAACGAACGAACGAACGAACGAACGAATTCAGCTAAACCTCACAATAACTCTCAAGGTGAGTCATTGTCTGAAGGTGAGTTATGCCAATATCTACTGGGAATAATGACAATTGGAGATTGGATTTAAATTTAGTCCTAATTTGGCATGAAGCCAAGATTCTTTCCACTCCACCATGCTGTCTCTAAAGGAAATACTAGAAGCAAGGTCTCTATAAAAACTGTTTCCCCCTTTCTAAGCACTAATTTATACCTTTGTAGTAGCAGGCACCTCTCCCTCACAGCACAGTCAGAACTCACATCTGAAACAGGGAGTTGAGAAATTGCAAAGCGTAAAACTGATTGGGAGAATAAAAAAGAACATCGTGAAACATTACCTAATTGTTAAGTAATGCTGTCATGCATTGTCCAAAATTGGGCTGGAACAGGAGTACAGCCAAGGAGAGGAATATAAACAGACCTTGCACTGGGACGAGCAATTTCACTTCTAGCCATTCTGATTCATATGAGAGATGGGGACATCCAGAGCAAACGCCAGGACTGCCACAGACCAGGCACACACACACAGGGAGGGAGCGAGCCACTGAAGGGTCAGGGCGAAAGAATATTTATACAAGAACTCCAGCAGGGAATTCAAACGCACCGTATGTTTTTGCCTTTCAAAGCATGATTCCCTTTCCTGTTTTTGTTATTCTGAAATTAAAAACATTTGGACAGTGTGCCAGGCAGCAAAGGCAGCAGACATCCCAGGTCACCAACACGCCCCATGCCATGCCAGGGAAGGCAATCAAAACATCTCTGACTTTAGACAATCACGGCTGGGTTTTGGGCTGGACACAAAATTAATGTATCACTGTTACGTGTGATGGCACATTGGGATCCTCTCAAAGTTTGAAGAAAAAAAAAAACCCACAGGAACTAGAAATGATTACTTTAAAATTAAGATGTGTGTGCTCGTGGCTTTGCCTGCAGCCTCTGGTGAGCGCTTTTACATGAGGTTGCCTAGGGAACTGTTGGCTTTGCTCACTGTGGTATCACATGGAAGGTGCCCTGAATGAAGGAATGAATACCAAAACCAAAAGCATCCCTGTCCCAAAATAGTGAAAACATAAAATCCACTCCGATTGATTCAATTCAGGTACTAAAAGAGAAATTGGACATTTTTTTTTAAGACAATGTATAAAAATTTGAACCTACAAGAGATGCTAAATATGTAATTATCTTCTCTAAAAATGGGGAGGAGGGTTGGGCCCAGAGGCTCACGCCTGTAATCCCAGCACTCTGGGAGGGCGAGGTGGATCATTTGAGCTCAGGAGTTCGAGACCAGCCTGCGCAAGAGCTAGATCCTGTCTCTACTAAAAAAAATAGGAAGAAATTAGCTGAACAACTAAAAATATATAGAAAAAATTAGCTGGGCATGGTGGCGCATGCCTGTAGTCCCAGCTACTCAGGAGACTGAGGCAGTAGGATCGCCTGAGCCCAGGAGTTTGAGGTTGCTGTGAGCTAGGCTGACGCCACAGCACTCTAGCCTGGGCAACAGAGTGAGACTCTGTCTCAAAAAAAAAAAAAGTGGGGGTGGGGGTGGGAAGAGGATTTATTTTAACTTTCAACATAATTCACTCCAATATTCTGCCAAATAGTTATTCCCGAAACATATTTGAGATAAGATTTATTTCACCAAATTTCAACATTCAACTTTTCAGGAAACCAGCTGCCGTTCCCCTATCATGCCAACCAGCTAAGCCTCATTAGCACATTGCCTTCATTAAAGAGAAGGCTTAAGGAATAGGCTGGACTACACTTTTCCACTATCATCTCACTAATCTTGCAATCCCTGTAGTTTCTCTATCAGTGTTTCACCTTTAGAAGTTAGAAGCAAGCAAAAAGATATGCTGATATCATATATTTAACTCAAAATGAAAAAGCTATGACAGGAGCTGGGGTCACCCTAATTTCCCACACCTTCCCTAAGTACGTAATCCTAAAGGTAAGAGCTGATATTCAGGACCGTGACACTGAGGCCTTAGTCTGCAAACTCCTCAACCACTCCTCAACTGATTGGACAGCTCACTAATACATTTAGGAATTTCACAAATGAGACAGCTGGGGTTCAGACGGGTGAAGGGACTTGCAATGGAAGAGCCTGGACTTAAACCTGGGTCTGTCCTGCCCTGAGAGGCCATGTTTTAACCACCAGACCTATTTTATAGGTGTGGCCTACACAGAAGCAGCCTGTTCAGCAAAGGGAAACATCATGGAGAGAGCTTCGAAAGTCCAAAGAGGCAGAAAGTTTACAAAATAACACATACAAGCACAGCTTATATCATTGCTAGTCATCAAAACAAAGAAATGCTTGACCAACTTACAATAACTTTCAGGTTTCCTTTAACATCAAAAGATTTGATCACCCAGTTGACAGATTTTTTGCACTTCAAGATCAGGATGAGATTTTTGACCACCTCAGGATCCTCTCGAGAAGGTCTTATATCAATTATTATATCCACCTGGAAAGCACTGCGAATGGAAAACAAAGGCAAAGTTAAGACCTAAATGCCAGAGAGTTGCAACTATCTCCCCTCTTCCAAGTCTTCATGTTTCCAGTGTCTGGCCAGTTGATTAAAAAGCTGGAGTTGATCCCAGGCCAATGACATGTGCAAAACAGATTGTTATTGCTCACATAACAAAATAGTTTTACATAACAATAGAAACATACGCCTGCTGATAATTAGCCACTAAAGTTTTTCTCTTCTTTGGGGAAGAAAAAAAGGTGGTTACTTTAATGCAGCCACTGTTTGAGATGGACCTGAACAAACCAGGAGAGTTTACTTTTTCAAGGAGGATGGTTGTTGCTTTTTCAACCTTCAACACCTTCAATGTATACCTTCCCAACTAGACTGTATATGCTCAAATTCCTTCAAAACAGAAGGGGGTGGCAGTTTGGTGAGTGGGGGATGGCAGGGAGAAGGGAGGCCTGGTGCTTAAAAAAAAAAAAAGGAAACTTCAGAATAAAATAAGAGACAACAGGCTGAAGAATTTCTTGATTTATATAAGGTTTGCTTAAGCCATTAACAACTGCTACAGAATCGTATCTGCATTTACTTTTCTAAACTTCTGGATATAAAGTTATTAAAATAAAGAAAACAGATGGTCAACCAAGTGATTACTGGCAAATAGATGAATACAACCCAAACTTCTAAGAACTCAGTATAAAAGAGAATTTTTTACTAAACAATAACATCTCTGTCATTCTGAATTAAGGGAAAAGTCTTTATTTCCATCTTGGTTTTATATACTGGTAAAGCATAAAATATGTGGTATACTCCAATGGGGCCTTAGGTTTAATATCTAAGCACATTTGTCACGTTGCTTCTATTCTTGTTCTCTTTTTAACTTTCCACAAAATTCTTTGCGCAGACAGGACAGAATCTTATGCCAAAATTGATCTGTAGTTTATTCATTTTTAAAATCAAAACTTGATTCGAATTTTGATTTTTAAATCCCTCTATAATACAAATTTAAATTAAGCCACTGGTCTACTTGAAATGTAGGCTAAACTGGGAGAAGGACCTAACGTTTCCTTCTTTTTCTTTCTTTTTAAAAATTCTCTAATTATTCTTGACAGAGAGGGTCAACTTTCCAGTCCAGGGCTAGGAAAATGACAGGGAGAAGACACACACAAGGAAGAGGCAAGCTGCACCTAACAGCTATATGGTATGTCACCACAAAGGGCCTCTTCAGTGACATGCACACACATGGCTTTAAAGCAAACAGTTCTGGGTGCACAAGTGCTCTAAGGACACTATGAACAGAACTTCATTAAAAACAGAATGTTACTAAAATGATAATTACTTTAATAAGGCACATTTTGTAATTTTCTTATCAGGGATAACCTTAGTCAAGGGGGATAACGATGGAGTGACTATGTCCTATAATTAATACCCGGAAGTTCAGAACAGCTTCAGGAACTCATCTGGAATATATGGGCTCTAGAGACAGATGTGGAATATAAAATACACTACTGGTGCCTTTTCTCCCTTCTTCAAGGCTTCTGTGAGCCACACTGGACATCGATGGCTCCCTTCCCTCTCCTGACCTCAAGCCAAGGAGGATCTTTACTTTCATCTCTTCTCGGGTTAGAAGACACATTCCCATGCGCTTACCTGTAGGGGTTAGAGTTGGGCATGAGTAACTCGATGATGTGTACTTCCTTATCCTGGGGCTGGCTGGACATCACACACCCTTCTGCTGCTTTGGGTTGAAGGTACTCAGCAAGGTAATTGAGTGAGAGAAAATTCTTCCCTATCTTGCACGTGAGAGGGAACACTTGATCTGAAAGTAGAGCAGCACAGGGCAATCTTTCAAACCACTGAGCTACGTGATAACCGGATTCAAAGGAAAGAAGGTGATGGCGACACTGAGCAAGTGCGGGACACAGAGCCACAAGCCCCAGGGAAGGGCCTTAGTCTGCAAACCCCTCAACCACTGCCCTGAAATGCCTCGCATTATGGTCACCAGTAACCTCCTCTTGACCAACTCTAGTGGCCTCTCTTTGTCTAAATCCTCTCCTTTCTTGTTCTCTCTGATATTTCCTCTCCTCATCCATTTTCCCTGATCCATCTTTCATGTCTCTTTCATGGTTCCTCCTCCTCTGCTCATCCTTTAAAAACCAGTAGTCCTCATCTTAGGTGCATGTAGGAATCCACCTGCTTGTGCCCCAGCTCGGAGAATCTGATTCAGAACACCCAGGCGGGGCCCAGGCAGTTTTCCTTTTCAAAAAGCTCCACAGTCAATCCCAATAGAAACCAAGGTTAAGAACTTCAGCTCTTTCCTCAATCTTCTTTTTGTCTCACATTTTTCCTAGATGATCTCAATCACTCCCACAGCTTCGACTTGTACCTAGATCATGACTCCTTTTCTGAGCTGTAGACATGTACTGTCATCTGTCTACCAAACATCTCCCACCTAAAGACCCAATAGGCAGGTATTTCAGTTGCACACTCAACACTGAGTCCACTATGGAGCCTACTCCCAAGAGCACTCCTCCTCAGATATTTGCTGTTTCAACTAACTGGAGAAGCAGCCACCTCGTTAATTCTCTGGCCCACCATGTAGAATTAGTCATTCCCTTATATTTATTCCTCACAGAACTTTATTCTCTGAGGATTAAAAGCAGGAGTTTGGGGAAAACAAGGAAGGCAGACTTTCACTCTTTCTCCCAATCTTGACACAGACAAGCACTGTTTATGTGGCACTTCACGGTTTACAAGCTGCCTTCACAAACATTATCTCATTGTGCTGAGGCTCGCTCGCCACCTCCACCCAGAAAAGTGATGCAAGCACCAAGAGTCTGAGGACAATCCTCCGCCGGCACATGCCATTTACACGGCACTGTGGTTGATGGGATTTCCATACGGTGGTTTAAATGCTTAAACAGACCTTGAAAGAAACTGCTTGGCCGTGTGACAGCTGGGACCAGTGTCAAGGAAGTTCTAGGTGTAGCAAGCTTTTTTCAGAAGGGGTAATTAATCAGAGGCCTGGCACTATAATACAACAGACTTCTGCCTTTTTCATTTTAGGGACAGGATGCCAGGGTTCAAATCCACATGAAAGTCTTGCTCAGGAATAAGGAAATCAGCCCAGGAGGGCCCAAGATAGGGTTGGCACTGCCTGCCCCCACCCCAACTTGTGCAGCCCCCCTTGTGCTGAAGTCTGCAGCATACACAGGGCATCACAGCTCTGGCCACCACAGCAGCCCCGACACCACCCCTAGAACACAGGGGACCAAAACAGTTCACAGGGTCCCTGTTTGTTAGGCCCACTTCAAGAGAGTGTTGGCTCTGCACTCTGCAGTCTTCTCTAAAATCCCCCCGAGAGAAAAGCCCAAGGCCACTGACTCGGGCTGCTAGAGCAGCCTCCTTCCACATCTGCAGAAGGCTTTGCCAGATGAGCAGATGAGGTATGCACACCGCGCAGCTGCAGCCTGTGGATGCCTCCCCCAGATCACAGGATGGAAAATGATACTGAATGGCAGCGTTGAAATTTAATTAAGAAGATGTGTGCATGGGCCGGGGACAGGCCAGTCTGGAACTCAAGAGACTAGGACCCTCCTGGGACTGTGGTCTGCACATTCAGTTCACAGGTGTGCCTGGCGTGTATCTGGCATATAGTGGGCACATAGTATACGTTTCCTGAACTAACAAACAATGATGTGAGATTTGAGACAAATAACAAAACAGTCACCCATGTTTAGCCACTAGGAAAGGTTTAATTGTTTAAAAATTGCTATTATTAAGGGCTCCAGGCCCAGATGCTATTGTCACTAAGTTGGATAAGCCGATCCCTTTCTGTTGTGTGTGCAGTCCCCCCTCGTGACTTTCCTCATGCCTGGCACCAAAACTTACACCAAGTGCCAAGTAGAAAGGAAACCACAAAGGGGAATCCCTGGGTAGAAACCTGGCAAGTTTTGGGGGAAAAAGTCACATGCTTATTTGTATTTCAGGAAAAGGTTGACAAACGACTTGAGACCTGGAATGATATGCTCCGAGAGTGGGAACAAACCTGGGAAGCAATGCAGACACCTGCCATGGAAACCAAGACTCCGGCGGTAAATCAGTGTTGCTCGAAGCCTCACAGTTAGTGAGGCCAGATGCAACAAGAATGAAACTCCTCCCTTCTTCTACTCTAGGTACATAGGTTAGAGCAGTTCTCAAATGTTAGCAAGCATCGAGACCACCTGGAGGGCTCAGTAAACCACCAACCGCTGGATCCCACCCCAGAGGCTCGGTTGGTCTGGGTTGGGCCTGAGAACAGGCATTTCTAACAAGTCCCCAGGTGATGCTGCTGCTGCTGGGGCGGGAACCATACTTAGAGAACCACTGGCGTTAGAGCAAGAGGAGGCTTAGGGCCTGGGGATAAGGAGGATGGAGCCAGGTCAGGTTCTACCAAGTGGCTGCTGAGGCTTGCTCAGCAGAGCCTCACCTGTGGTGACAAAAATATCACTTTGTGGTCCAGTGACCCAAACAAGGAACCTTACTTTCCCCAATTGCTTTCTCCTTGGTGTGGCCCAGCGACTTGTGCCCAACTGGTGGCTACAGTCAAGTTTCGGGAACTCCAAAGGGGTTATCGAGGAATTAACCAATTTTTACTGGAATGGACAACCAGGTCTTTTAAGTTCATTTCCAGTGAAGTGACAACCCCTTGCTCTCAGAGCAGGTGACTGCTGTGCACAGAAGCTTACGCACTGTCAAGAGAACAGAGTTCAACATTCTAAATGTTATTATAACAAATTTTCTTATTTTAACAAATTCCAAGGGGTAATCAACATTCTTTCATGCTACTAGAAATCTGCTTCAAAAATGCAGCCCACTGGCCAGGGCTTAGAACCTTTATTAAAAAAGACTTTTCATTTTGTCTCAACGGGATTTTGCCTCTATTATTAACCACCTGACTACCACGAGAGTGTTGTAACAAACTTAGAGTTCCTGAGCCTACCTTTCGTCCAAAACCCCTTCTCTCTACCCCAGCTAAACAAGTCATTTCATCTAGGCGGCCCACTTTCATTTTTAGGTTTTGCTTATTTGGCTAAGATATAACTACAACATTAGGCAAAAGGCATTAGGCTCAAGAGTCAGGAAACCTGGGTTTGAGTTCTGGCTTCACCACTTGGTAGCAACATGAACTCGAGCAAATTCATTTAGCCCTCCACGAAGCACTCTGTAAAATGGCAGAAATGTCATCTTCCTCCTGGGATTACTGTGGGGTTACGTGGGTGAGTGTGAAGGCCCCTGATAAGGCCTTCTGCATATAGCACTCTCTCTGACATCGGTATCCACGTTTGCTCTGTTTCACATACGATTTTGTCTTTCATGTTTTGAGAGATGGAGTCTCACTCTGTCACCCAGGCTAGAGTGCAGTGGTACAATCATAGCTTACTGTGGCTTCAATCTCCCGGGCAGCTGGAACTACAGGCACACACCACCACACCCAGCTAATTCTTTAAAAATTATTGTAGAGATGGGGTCTTGCTATGTTGCCCAGTCTGGTCTCAAAGTTCTGGGTCCAAGTGGTTCTCCTATCTCATCCTCCCAAAGTGCTGGGATTACACGCATGAGCTACCATGCCTGGCCTGTCTCACACACACTTTAAAACAGCCCAGATCCAAACAACAGTCAGGATCATACATTCAATGAGCCACCCTTCCCTGCCATGCTATCTGTGGGGAGGAGACCACAGCTGCAGACTTGAACAGAAAGCAGCTGGATGCTGAAGACCAGAAATGTAGTGCTCACGTGTTCACCCGAGTAAAACAAGGACCCATTCACAAGAGTTGCTATTTCCTAGTAACTTATGGGGGGGGGGGAGTCCCGAATATGCTCAACAAAAAAGAATGATAAATTTTTTTTAAAAAAATAGGCTTTCAAAATTGAGTCACTGGATATTTATAACCTTCTACAAGGAAACGAAATTAAAATGGTCAATCCCTTATCAAGGCCATACAGTTCCTTTCTCCAATAATTTTTCCACATAATAGGCATTAATAGTAAAAAATATATGTAAGCTGGGTACCGTGGCAGGTGCCTGTAGTTCCAGCTACTCAGGAGGCTGAGGTAGGAGGATGACTAGAGGCCAGGAGGAGTTCAAGGCTGCAGTGTGCTATGATAGTGCCAGGGAATAGCCACTGCACTCCAGCCTGGGTAGCATAGGAAGACTCCATCTCTATAAATAAATATATTTTTAAACACTTTTCCTCTGCTATTATCCAAAATGTAACTGATGTCTCAACCTCATAAACTGATACTGGCTTCAAATATTTGCAGAACAACAGGAAGGGGAAGACCCACCAGTTGACCCATCCTGCCAGCTCCTTCATTCCATCAGTTGTCACCACCCTCCCACACCCTCACCTTCTTGTCACCACTTGCTTCTTCTGACTTCTGTGTGTGGATGTCTCCTGAATCCTACACGGCAACCTCCTCCTTTATCAACATGCCACCCCCACTGCTCGCTTGGCTATCACCAGGCCTGTTTGCTCAGAAGGAAAAAAGGAAGGAGAGGACATGGGGGAGAGTGGGCCCCAGGGATCCCTCTGGTCCCTGTTGGCTCGAGCATTCCATAATTCTGTAATTCCTTGCCCTAACCACTTGATCTCAGAGAAGAAGATAATGGACCACTGTAAATCGGTCATTAACGGAAGCCACATAAAATTTACCTTCCCCCACTTTAATATATATGTTTCTTGCTATCTTGAGTTCTGTGAATGAGGTAACTGCTCCGTATTCCTTTCGGGCCCAATTCAACAGATGTTCATTTCCATGGGGGAAGTTCCTTTCTTCTGTTTTTGCTGTCAAGGAGAAGTTTCCTGATGAAAACTGGACCACAGAACCCTCAGACACCTAGAAGAAACAGAATCGCACATTCAACACGGTGCAGTCACCCAGGGCTGAATTATAACTAGAGAATATGCTTCTCAGACAACTAACAGGTATCTGTCAATCAAATCTCTCCTATTTGTTATACAGGCAGATCAGCTTTTTTCAAATGCTGATTCAATAAATAATCCCAAGCCTAGTCCTCCCAGATAAACTACTAATGTAGGATGTCCTCTGAACTTTGAAAGAACTTTGTGATGAATTACTGCATTGTGCATTGTCAGTAATCATAAGAATTATTACTGCTATTTTCCAGATATCTAAATTTTTAGCCAACCTTCCAAGTAATACATGTCAAGTCAAGGGGGAAGCCTTGGTGAGTATTACCAGGAGCTTATGATGGACTCAGGGTCAGGACAAGCAACCCCAAAGTCCTACCAGCAGCTCAACATGACTCCCAGGTCTTCCGCAGCTGCAGTGTCTGCCGACAAACTCACCACAGCAGTGAGAGTGGACATTCTCCTGAGCTGAGATAAGAAGAATGGCCAAAGGTTGCCGGTCTTCTACCACATTATTCCATTTCACGACAGTGAGATGAATGTGTATAAGTTTATTTTGTAAGACCCCCAAATTCCCACAGATAATGAAGTCAAGAGGCTGTTAAACTAATCCTAATAAAACTTTCAGGATGATTTATGCAAGCACCGTATTTTTGCTGGATGTATTTAGACCATCACTGACCTAGCTTATCATGGTATATATATATATAATTAACACATACTAAGGAGGAAAATCATCTTGTTCTATACTATGATCAAATTTAGTTGCTGGTAAAATTATGCATGCCCATCTTTATTGTCTAGCATTTATAAAATAAGTGATATTTATCAATGTCAAGGTAAAACCTCAAAATGTGGGCAAAAAGGCCCATAAATTTCCAAGTGGACAGAACCATAAACATCTTGTACTAAATTTCACATTAACTACTTATTCTTAGCAAAAAGCGAGCAGTTTCTGAAAGCTAGAAACAGCTAGCTTGGTCTAGCTTATAAACAGCTAGACCAAGAAGCAAGTCGAGGGCGGTGGTTTTATAAGTGGTTCTATTGCCTACAGCAGCGTTTTCAACACACACACACAACAGTATTTACCTAGCTATTGTGCCAGGCATTAATATCTTATATTCAATTATATATATACATAATTTTTCAAATGCTGGCAAAGAAGTACTTAATGGATTCCATGACGTACCTATTGCTACAGTTCCATCTTGACTGGAGACTAGAATCACCTGAAAAGCTTCCAAATATCCTGTTGCCCAGGCCATGCTCCAGACCAATTAGAACCTCCAGGGTGAGGCCCAGGCATCGGAATTGTCTTAAGTTCATGGGTGATTCCAATAGCCACATTTGAGAAATGCTACCTTAAAGGGCACTGAGTGATCCACAGGCTGAAGAGCACTGTTACAGGACAGGCCCAGTGTGGACACCCACAGCCTCCTCTACGCCAGGGGCCCTTCACCTGGGTGATTTTTTTTCTCCAGGAGATATGTGGCAAAGTCTAGAAGCATTTTTGGCTATCACAGCTGGGAGGGAGGTGCTACTACCATCTACTGAGTAGAGGCCAGGGATGCCGCTAAACAGCCTACAGTGCACAGGACAGCTCCACAACAGTCACTCACGATGTCAACAGGGCAGAAACTGAGAAATCCTGTCATCCCTTTTGACTGACTGACTGTTAGCACCACTCAAACCTCTACTGGATCCCCAGTTTGAATCCCCCAATTGACAGCCCTTTCTGTGCTAGAAATTATGTGGTCTAGCACTTACTAAAGAACGAGCACAGCGCGGGAAGCTCTGAGGTGATCGGTCGCTCATAAGCAGGGCGGACGCCGCAGCCGCTCGCAAGAGGCACGGCTTATGGCACACGCGTCTGCTGCGCACCAGGCATGGTGAGGTGCCATCCAGTGTGGTGATTTCCAAATGCCCTGATGCCAGTCATGGGCAAAACCAGTGCGGAACATTTAGCTTTGACCTCATTTTGAGGTCACCTGCATATGAAAAAGCGCCTGAGGTATTTTTCTGCCAAACGATAAGCTGCCCACCTGTGTGGAAACCCGCTGAGGCTTAGCCACTCGCCAACGCTGAACTCCTAACAGTGTTCATCGGCGTTCTGACTTGAGCACTGTAGTAAAATCTTTTCACTGAGAAGCACTTATACTAAAAAGGCATTTTTATCAGGCCTGTCTCACACACACACACACACGCACAAAACCACAACAATCCACAGTAGTCCAGAGGCCCCTGTCCCACCGCCAGCACAGCCTGAGCGTTTCGGCAAGTGTCCCTGGATATCTACTTTTCGGTCATGTTACAGCTATAAACTACAATTGGGGTTTAAATATGTTATCCATAGAGCACAGTTTTTTTTTCAGAGTGGAAAGTTGAGACATATCACACTGGTGCATTCCCGAGGCAAGAAAGCAAAGAGTGTAAATAAGAGAAGCAATCGGGAGCAACTTTGGAATATATCTTGAAGTAATTAAAAAGTGATGCCGTGATGCAGCTGATTCTTCCAAAAGGAATGACTCCTGCCGATGCCTCCTCACACCGGCCGGCCGCCGTCGTCTTCCGAGCCAGCAGCAATAAGCTTCATACACTCAGGGCTGAGGAATTTGGCAATGGAGTTCACTGCCACTCCTCAGGCGCATTCCAAGAAGAAGAAAGCAAGGCTGCCAGGGGCAGTGAGGTGTCCCTGACTGCAGGTCAGTGGAAATTTCCTGCTTCAGCAAGGGGTGAGCTAGCATCCTCTCCCGACCGCCAGCTCGCCTGGCTGTGACAAAGCTGGAGCTGACATAGGCCTCCCCCGATCCCCAGGACCTCTAGCAGGTATTGTTCAGATGTTATTTCCATCTGATCCTCAGGACCCTGAGGTAGGCTACTGTGATCTCCACAGGAGTGAGGCAGAAACCCCAGAGAGGACAATGGCCTCCACAAGGTCAGAGAATCAGCCCCAGGGCCAGACCAGAACATGAGACTTCTGACTCCTGGTCACAGCTGGCCTCTGTGTGAACCCTTCCAGAAAGAAGACCTCACTGGCTCCCAAGACAGATGATTTCAGTTCTTTCTTTCTATCTGTAAGATTCACCTTTTATTCACTAGTCTTAGCCATGCCTACCAGACCAAAGAATTCCTTTCTCTTTCTTCCATGGGAGGAGACTTCATTTAATGATGCCATCTGACCTTGATCACCTGTTCACTTCTTCAAGGCAACATTCAACTCCTTCTTCAACTCCTTCCCAGACACTATGGTTGTCAGAGCTTCACCAGCGTAGTCTCCATAACATAGTGCTGGGACAAGATTCAGGGTCTCCAGGTGTGGACTAAATAACTAAGTTTTATATGCATAGCCTCTACATTTTCATCTAAATCCCTAAGAAATTGAACAAGATGAGGCTGAAATCTGTGATTCACAGGTACACTTCCACATTAACCTGAGCATATTAACAGTCTTCGCTGGGGTCCCAAGTTGCTCAACCAACTACAAAGCGACCCCACAGAACTGTCCTCATATTTGTAAGGGCATCATGCTAGAACCTGCCAAGAGTCCTGATGTAAGAAAGTCATGATACATCTATGTCATTCCTCTATTCTACCAGTCAATGTTCCAGACCCTGCTTTAACTTCATGATGTAGCATCCTTATGAGAGTCTGGCTTGGGTTAAAATTTATGTAAGAACATAAGATACAGAGAGAATAGCAAAACACATAAGAAATAGAGGAAAAATAATTTTCTAATGTGAGGAGTTGCAATCATTATTGCAAGGAAAATAACTACTTGAATGTATAAGAAAAAAACAACTTATTTTTCTTTATACTCACACCACTTTTAATAGTTTACTTCTGAGAACAGATGTGTGGTGTTTTTTTCCATACCAACCAATTCTCCAACTCACTGGATACCAACTAGTATCATGTATTTCAATTAAATTCTGATACTATCTACCTGGAGATAGCATCAGATCACATAGGCTAGGACTCAGTCCCCCAAGCCTGCCCCCACCAGTTGAAAATCCAAGTGCTTCTACTGATTGGCTATAAATAAAAAAACCCTGAGGTTCAATTATTTGCTAGAATGGCTCACAGAATTCAAGGAAATACTTTACTTACATTTACCCTTTCTTGTTTGCTTGTTTGTTTTTAGAGACAGAGTCTCACTCTGTTGCCCAGTGCTACACACCATCATAGTTCACTGCAGCCTCAATCTGGGCTCAAGTGATCCTTCTGCCTCAGCCTCCCAAGTAACTGGGAATACAGGTGCACTCCACCACACCCAGCTAATTTTTTAAAACATTTTTTTAGAGAGATGGGGGTCTCCCTACATTGCCCAGGCTGGTCTCAAACTCCTAGGCTCAAATAATCCTCCCACCTCAGCCTCCCAAAATGCTGGGATTATAGGTGTGAACTAATGCACTCAGCTCATTTACCCATTTATTAGAAAGGATACAACTAGGGAACAACAGCCAGGTGGAAGAGATGCACAGGGCATGGTATGGGAGGAATGGCAAGGAGCTTCCATGCCCTCTGCAGGAACACCACCCTCCCAGCACCTCCACTGTTCACCAACCTGGGCACCCTCCAAATCCTGCCAGGTAGGTCAGGGATTCTGACAGAAGCTCCATTTCATAAGTCTGATTGATTAAATCAATCTCCAGCCTCTCTCTCTTCCCCTTCTCCAGGGGCGTGGGCTGAAAGCTCCAACCCTCTAATCACAAGGTTGCTTGCCCTGGCAACCAGCCCCCACCCAGAGGCTACCCAGGAGCCCCCAGCCACCAGTCATGTCATTAGCACACAAAAAGGCACTCAGCACTTGAGAGGTTGCCTTACCAGGGTTTTAGGAGCTGTATGCCAGAAGAGGCACAGACCAAACACATAGTTCTCAATATGTCCCAATTTGTAAATGTGAAATCATATATTTTACATATATATTAAAAGTACATATATAGGGAGAGGGAAAGAGAGAACGTGAGCACACACATGCAAAATTTTATATTTGGATAAAATAGTAGAAACTTCCCCATCCTTCACCTTATTCATGGGTCCTTGCCACAATACTACCCCATTTCTGGTCCTTAAGTCTTAACCAAACTGTTACAGCCACCTCCTACCCTCCTGTTTCCTCTATCCCTCCTCCATACTGTCCCCTGGGCAATCTTTCTAAAAAGTAAACACACAGAGACGCAGAACAGCATTCAACAACATCTTAACGCACCTGCCACCCTCCCCCACCCTCCAGTCCACACTACTCCCAGAGGCACCGACAACCACCGCAGCTGCAGAGCACACCGCGCCTCCGCACAGTCCTGGGCCGTTTATGTCCCGCACCCCTGCCTGCGCTGCTCTGCCCACCTGGCTCCCAAGGAGAGCTAGCTGCCCCGTCCTCCCGCAAGTATCACCTTCTCTGTGAGGCCGCCCAGGCTCTCTTCTCTCCTCACAATGAGTTGCCCTCATGTCTCATACGTCCCTCTAGTCCGTCCCCTCTCTCTCATGAGCTGCGACTGTTTTTCAGCATATCCGGCACCTTCACTTGACACAGAACAACACCTTGAGGGCCATGGGGACACACATTCATCCCGACTCTCTTGGGCCTGGCACAGTGCTGGGCACAAAACAAGGACTCAATAATTGCTGGTTATTGTCCAAGTTCAAAAGCAAGCGGTGAAAAAAAAAAAATAATTACTGGTTGAATGAAAGCTCAAAGTTGTTACTTACAGGAAAAGATATGCTATAATTTCTTCATTCCCGTTACCTAAACTCCTTGCTTCCCTCACTGCCCAGGAAATGAGCTTTTGGCCAGGCTGTAAAGCTAATGACTTGATTTTTCACCTAATAACTCCACCTAAAAACCAATTATTAAGGCACATTTAGTTATTGCGTGTCTCCCCCCACCATCCACTGAACTTTCCTCCCGCTGACTAATTAAAACCTAATCCTCTGACATTCGCTGACATGACAAATGTCTTCCTGTGGGAATGAACAGAGCTCCAAGAGCTCCGATTCTTAGCAAGGGTTTGTTGAAGGGGCAACCATGAAGCACTTTAGGGTCTAACAGATCCTGGGATGCTAAGACAGACACACACTGGCTCATCTCTTCTCTCTACTTGAACCTTGCACAACATTTTTATTTTAAGTTCTGGTTATGCTACTAGACTTTTTTAAAGAGCAGAACATTACTCTATCTGCCAATGCTGGGAGTTTTATTACAAGAACTTACGGCTAGGCAACCAGAGCCAAGTTTATTATTTTTTCTGGATCAGATTCAACAACCTCATCCAAAAGTGCATGAAAAAAGCAAAAGAGGCAACCAGCCCTTTTGTTTCCACACCTGTGCTTAAGCTTTAACTCTTAAAGTCCTAGGCAGAGCCACGGAAGCCTCAAGGTTGGTCTCCCCAGCCAGAGTGAAGCACACGAGCCCTGGCTAATGGGTGCAGACATCATTTTCCTGGAACTGCGCTTCTTCGTTTTGGCACTTATCTCAGCACATCAGCTGACCCAGAGGCCTGTCGGGCTGCACCACAGCCTCTCTCTGCACCTCCCCCTGGTCGGTCTAGTCTTCAGTGGGGAGAAACAGTGGAGCTTTGCTGTGGACACTGCCACCCTGTAAGGCCTCATCCCTAAGTCCCATCCCTATCCTCCCACCTCAGAAAGAATGCTCCCAGATGAAAGGTGCTGAGGAAAATTCAGGGCACACGAGATCACAGGTGGCAACTGAGTTTCATCTGAAGTTTCACTGTACCTCCTCCAAGTCTACTCAAATCTTACCTTCTAAGTGGGACCTATGTACAATTACAACCCCACCACCCAGCCCCTACTCTAGCAATCCTGGTTCCCCCAAACCTACTTCCCATTTCTACTGCACCTGTTACCTGCTAAAATAGCAATATAATAAGCTTACTTATTATGCTTATTGCCCATGTCCTTCCACTAGAATGTAAGCTCCTTCAGGCTAGGATCTTAGTCCACTTTGTCTATGGGTCTATCTCAAACACTTAGAATGGTATTGGGTACAAAAAAGACAATCACTGAGTATATGTTTAACGAATAGAATGACTCTTGAAGTCCAATTAGTAGGCAGTGCCCACCTAAAGTTCTGTGCAAAGGAGGACTCTGAGGTCATATTCAGAGGAATAGAGAAATGGGAACGAGTGCCCCGATCATGTGTCAGCAGGAGCCCAGGGAAGGCCATCCTTGCTCTACAGCCATGCGGTCCAGTACCCTAACCACTGGCCACGTGGTTTTCATTGATTGATTACATGTTTAAGTGATATTATTTTGTAAATAAATGGGACTTACATAAGGTAAAAAAAAGTTTCTGTATAGCAAAAGAAATAACCAACAGAGCAAACAGACAACCTACAGAATGGGAGAAAATATTCACAAACTACACATCCAACAAAGGATCAATAAAATACACAGGGAACTCAAACAAATCAGCAAGGAAAAAAACAAACCACTCCATCAAAAAGTGGGCAAAAGACATGAACAGACATTTCTCAAAAGAAGATATACAAATGGCCAATAAACATATGAAAAAATGCTCTACATCACTAATCACAAGGGAAATACAAATTAAAACCACAATGAGATACCACCTTACCCCTGAAAGAATGGCCATGATTAAAAATTCAAAAAACAACAGATGTTGGTGTGGATGTGTTCAAAAGGGAATGCTTATACTCTGTTAGTGGGAATGTAAATTAATACAACCTCTACGGAAAACAGTATGGAGATTCCTCAAAGAACTAAAAGTAGACCTACTACTCGATCTAGCAATCCCACTGCTGGGTGTCTACTCAAAGGAAAAGAAGCCATTATATCAGAAAGACACCTGCACTTGTATGTCTATCACAGCACAATTTATAATTGCAAAGATGTGGAATCATCCTACGTGCCCATCAACTGACCTGTGGAGGAAGAAAATGTGATACATACAACACACACACACACACACACACACACCCCAAAGACTATTAGTCAGTGATAAAAAGGAATGAAATAGTGTCTTTTGTAGCAACTTGGATGGAACTGGAAGCCATCCTCCTAAGTGAAGTATTTCAGGAACAGAAAAACAAATACCACATGTACTCATTTATAAGTGGGAGCTAAATGATGGGTATGCACGGTCAAACAGAGTGATATACGAACTCTGGAGACTCAGAAGTGTGGAGGGTGGGAGAGGAGTGGGGAGGGACCCAAAACTACCTATCAGGTACAACGTAGACTATTTGGTTGATGGGTACACTAAGAGTCCTGCTTTTACCACTACATAATTCATCCATGTACCAAAAATCCATTTGCACCCTCTATATCTATTGAAATAAAAAAAGAATATTTTTGTCACCTAAAAAAGTGGTATTATTTTGGATCTATTGGGTTAAAAATGTCATTAAAATTAATTTCACTTATTTATTTCACTTTTTAAAATACACTAATAGAAGACTTAAAAGTACATTTGTGGTTTGCATTATATTTCTACTAGACAGGGCTGTTCTACACCCTCCCTCGATGACCCTAAGGAAGGAACATGTTCATGAACTGATAATGTCCATCCATCCATCCGTTTCTTGGTCTGGGCTCAACACAAATCAATGTCAAGAAAACATCTCTTCATCCCTGTAAGGTCTGAGGGGAAAAAAAAAAGAAAGAAAGAAAGAAAAGAAAAGAAAAGAAAAGATCTCAAGAAAAGAAAAGATCTTCCCAAACTGGGATCCTCAAGACAGGTGCATCACAGACAGAAGGTATTTTACATGCAGATTCCAGGACAGTGGGGGGTGGGGAACATAAGGTCTCAGAAACTACATTATAATCCTCCCTCCACCTCCTGTGATCCAATGCATACTTAAGGAACACTGCTCTAGGCACAGATACGATATTATTTAAACTCTAAATAATCTTCATAAAGCTTGAATGGGACTGCTTGAAGAATAAGCAAGAATCTCCTCCCAGCACTGGTGAGGAAAAGCCTCGAGGGAGGGAGTAAAGCCAAGTCATGGATGGAGTCATCTCCTTGCACATCTGAAAAGAAAAAAAGGGGCCTTGTGAAACAAGAGAAGCCATAGCTCCCCAATGATAAAGAAAAGCCTGTTGAGA